ACTGCAAAGCAACTTGGTTAAACAGCTACTGTTTAACTTGGACTGCTGTTGCCCCCTAACAAGATGGTACAGAACTGCCTCTTAGACTGGGAAGAAATCAATCTGGCTGCTTTTAAATATTCTCAAATATAGTTATTAGTCTTCTTGACGAGTGCTTATTCTAGAAAAGGGATAGCTTTGCTGACTTTAATGTGACAGAAAATGATTGGTCTCTCACTGTTGGGGTTAAACCCCATCTGGCAACTAGGACAACACACCCATTCACTCACTCCTCCCTCTCTCCCCTCAGTAAGGTAAGGAAAAGAGGGATAAAAAGGAGGGGGAAAAAAATCATGGGTTGAGATAAAGGTGGTTTAATAGAATGGTAATTAAAGAGAACATAATAATAGAATATACATAATCACAATAACAGAATATAGAAAATAAGTGATGCAATACAATTGCTCACCACCCAAGAATCAGTTGCCCAGCCCAAGTAGTGATCGTGGATTCCTGCCCCCCAGCCAACCCCCAAGTATATATTGATGTCTACGGTATGGAACATTTCTTGGGCCAGCTTGTCCTGTCTGTGCTCTCTCTCAGCTTCTATGGAAGTTGAAAAAGTCCTTGACTAATGTAAACATTATTAGCAACAACTGAAACAATATGCATTATCAACATTGTTCTCACACTAAATCAAAAACACAGCAGCTATGAGAAAGCAAATTAACTCTATCCCAGCTGAAACTAGGACACTTTCCCACTGCTAAAGGTGTCAGAGCTGATCTGTTAGAAAGGAGGTGAAAGCATGATTGTCTTATTGTTTAAAATCTTCACAAAATATCTTATGCTCCTGAATCATATTTTGGGGGTGGGAGGAATGATCCAGAACAATCAAAATTCATTCTTTCCTGTTTAAAGCAAGAAATAAACTTGAAACTCCTCAAGTTTCAAGTGCTGGCAGTGTCTCAGCCCTGGGTTGTGGGTTGCTGCTTATGTGGGGGTTTTGTACCAAAATATTTTTAGTGTGTGGGTTCATCTAATAAAATGCCTGGAAGCTTTTCATCTTCTTGGGAGAACATAATTCATAGCTATCAGGGAAGATGTAAATAAGAACATAAGGCCAAACGAAGCTTTTGCCTGAGTGCTGCCACTACTTTGACTCTGGGCCCAGGTAAAGATCCACCCTGTAGGGGATGGGGTGCATCAGGCCTTGCTACCTGCCAGAGACGGACACCAAATGCAGCAGTGGCTGCCCTAACTCAATTGCGTCTTCCCGAATGCTTTTGCTCCTGTGTGGGGAAGCCTGCCCTGCAGCTGCTGGCCCTACAGGGACCCCAAGCTGCCTCCGGAAATTTTGACCCAGCAAGATGTAGATGAAGGGGTTCAGGCAACTGTTAGCGTAACCCAGGCTGATAGCCACATTGTAGGCATAGTAGAAAGGCAGGGTGGGGCGAGTCATGGCGAGCTGGGCCAGCTGCAGGATGTGGAAAGGTGCCCAGCAAATGAAGAAGGCCACACAAATAGCAATTGCCGTACGAGTCAGTTTTTTTGTTCGTGCCCTGGTGCATCTTTGGCTCATCAATGCTTCTGAGGTCCTGGCCATCTTGAGCAGGATCCTCCTGTAGGCCACTGTGATGAGGGTAAAAGGGATGGCAAAGACTAGGAAGAATTGATAGAGAGTGTACCAATAAATGTCCCTCTGGGGGTCTGGGAGACGAATCCCACAGCCTAGTAGACCTCCAGGCAAAGGGATGAGCTGAGCATACATCCACACAGGTGTAATGCTGAGGAAGGAAAGGGCCCAGAGCACACAGATGACAAAGATTGCCACAGATGGCTTCCTGAAGCGAGTGGAGGTGAAGGGGTAGACAGTGGCCAGGTAGCGGTCAATGGACATAGCGGTGAGGATGTAGGTGCTGGTGAACTGGCTGTTGGCATCCAGGGCAGTGATGATTGTGCACATTGTCTCCCCAAAGTGCCAGGCTCCGTTCCCCAGCAGCTGGTGGATGAGGAAGGGCATGCCCAGGAGGAAGAGCAGGTCCACCATGGAGAGGCTGATGATGAAGATATCAGGGACACTACTGCTAGGGCTAGACTTCTTTAAGACTGTACAGATAACCAGGCTGTTACCAATAATGCCCAACAGGCAGATAATGCCAAACAGGGTGGGCATGATGAAGCTGCCATAGCTCATCCTGCTGGGGTCACCTGCAGAGACAAGTGTAGGCAGGAAAAAGTCAGTTGTGCCAGGACCACTGGTGAGGATGTGCCTTGTGAATATTCTGGCTTCTAACAGACAGTGAGTGCTCTGAATGCAAACAGTAATGGATTTCTTAGGCATGTGTAAGATAAGGAAGGGCCGTGTGTACATGGTTGTGTCTAACCATACACAGCATACACTTTCTCAGCAGCTTTCACAAACGTATACATTAAAACATGAGTGTAATCAGGCATGCATACATCCACTCTTCCCTTCATATGTGTGAACACACGTATTAACAATACAATGAAAGAGCATCAGTCTGTTTATCATTCCACATATGTGCATTTAGACCCTTTCAAATGCATACATACATAATTAATATGTTTCAATACATTTATTTGTATCTCTGGCACATATGTTGCTCAACTGTATGAATATTAATATCTATATTTGGGCTTTCTTCAAAATCATTGACATAAGTGATTTTTTTTTTCCTCCCCTCTCCCCCCGGTCTACACCTATTACATTTCATATACTAATGTATGTGTTCACTTACCGGTTTATTGCACTTACCAGACAGAGAAAAGTTTTGAACAGCCTTGCAGCTACTGGGGATGCAGTTGTTCAAGCTCTCAGTGTGATTTGTTTTAAAATCCATCCTTCAGGAAAAATTGGTCCCATCAGCAGCTTGAGGATGTTTTGTGTTGAAAGAATAAAGGTTGCCGGTTCCTTGGAGATCTGTGGGGCTGCTCAGAGCCACTGCTCTAAGCATCAGCAGAGGCTGTTAATGCAGGTTAAAAAGGAGCTCCTCTGCTCCCTGCACCACCGCCAGGCAAAAGTGACACCAGGCTGGCAGCAGAGTGCTGGAAATAGGTTTGCAGGGAGAGCAGAATTTCATTTTAGTGCTGAAGGTGGTGATCAGGATCCACTGATGGAGTAAGCGATGAATTTGTGGTCTGGGGAGGCAAACAGGGAAGTAAATAAAATCCTCTAAATAAAACGAGGGGTGGCCAGCACTGAGCACACTTTGCTTTTAGGGTCTAATTAAGTATAAATATCTCAATGTAATTCTGCAAAGAACCATGTTAACCTATAGTCAAGTTTGCAGCAAGATTTTCAAGTATAGATTGGGATTAATTGGGTCTTAGATTCTGAAGCAAGACCATCCTGGAAGTGAAAAGGTACGAGCTGTGTAAGTGTGCTGAAAGCTAGTATTTTCTGGCTGTGCCTGGTAAGTTGCAGCACAGATGAAAAACATTATCATTATTTCTCTCCTGTGAAGTGCTTTCTCCATTTCAATTCATTTTGAGTTTTCAAGCACAGTAATAGAGTTATATATATTTCATTTTAGGCAAACTGATAGAAGAGGAGATAGACAAGAGATTTGTTTTCAAGGTGTATTTGAAATTACTGCAGTTTGGCTTGTAAAAAAGCAAAACACTGGAAATGTTAAATAAATGGGGTAGTAACTGTGTTATAATCAAGTCACACTAATCTCTGCCTTGTTCCCCTCATAACCATTAGTCTGCTCTTTGCAGCCAGTAAACTCCTAGATTGAAGGCATTACTGCCTAGAAAAAGTCAGATTTGAAAAGTAAGATGAGATCAAACTGTATCCTGATGATGGAGACCAATAGTCTGGTGAAAGGCAGGAAGGATTCTCTAATGACTAGAAGGGTATTTCAAGGCTCACTTTTTGCTAGGCTAGCAAGGATTTCTAACACTTAGAAATAGCTCTTATTTCTGTAGTTCACAGCTCTTAAAAGCAGGCACCAGTCCATTTGCACAAGGGATAATGTATTCCATTTACCAGCCAGCGCAAACTCCCTCCTTCACCTCAGTGCCCCCGATGTACTACCTCTTGTTGGAACCTTTTCATTTGCAGACATCAGTGTCTTGCAGGTTTTTGCAGTCCAGTGTATGCACTGGAGAATTCACTTTTAGGTTGTATTACCTACAGCTGTGATGAGCACCACACAATTGTTAGGAACAGCATTCTATTTGTTTTTCCCCACACTGATCTTCACCTGCTGTAAATTGGCAGCAGCTGCAGATTTGATCCTAAGGGATGACAGCAATATAAAAAAAAATATATTCATGTTAAATCTTTGTTCCATCTTTTAGATGGATTTCTCCAGGCTGTATGTCATATAACCAATGTCACAGCACTAGCTTTTCCTACAAGGAAAGTGGAGAAAATACTTTTCCTGGTTCTTTTATTTTTTCTCCTTCCTACCACTTGTATACTACTATCAAATGGAAGTTAAAAAAAAAATAATACATACTCTGGTTGGAATAAAGCTTTGAAGCACCTGAAAAAACTAAACATTCTATCTACTTAGTATATTATGAAAGAAATCTCCTGTTATGGTCTCTATTCTGTAAATCCTTCACATTTAACTAGAATTTAGTAAATTCTAGAGCCCTTTATGAACTAGCATGAGGTCCTGTCTGTCTCCTGCAGACAGTAACACAGAATAGGATTAAGGATAATTTCTTTCTACTGCTGTAGTGTGGGGCCAGTTTATTACCACAGCTGAAAATGTTACCACCAATACAACATGGAACACATTATGGCTCAGATAAACCTTAACTCCACTTTGGTTCATGAAAAACTGGAGTCTTACACTAACTTAGTCCTTTACACTTTACAGGCATGAGAATGGGAGTAATCTGCAGTTTGTGGCTCAGCAACATTGGCCAGCCAAAATAATTCAACATTAACCGAGGAGAAAAATTCAACTCCAAATGTAACCTTCCTAGAAGTAAAGCTGGAAAAGTTGTTAACCGTAGAATAAATAGAACAACAAGACAACCTGGTTAAACAAACAGCACTTTATTAAACTAATATAGTTAGATACTTTCTTAATGCTTAAAAATACTATAGCATTTGCAGAAATGAAAAAAAAAAAGTTTAAATAACATACAAGAAGTTACAACTGAGAAGCAAAACAGGCAATTTAAATACCTAAACAAACATCACAAAATGCAAGACCTAACTGCATACCATTGATGCGATGAGGCAATGAGAACAACAAAAATATCCCTTCAGAATAATACAACATCTAAAGGTATATAAAAGCTTACACCATGATTTAACATATGACAAACCCCAATTTTCCTCATATAATAAATATAAAGCATTAGCATGGTGTGCTCGTACTATTTTAACAAAGGCTGTTAAGGCTTAAAAATATTTTTTAACATTCAAAACATACTTCTGGTGTTCTCAGCTTTGACACTCATGTATCAAAATAACCAACTGCTGCATACAGGTTTCAAAAGATAGTATATCCAGAACTCCAGTTACAAATGGGAAGTCAAATACCTACCTACTCTTTCTTTCACCTGTTACTGACTTATCAGTAGCTGCTACTATTACATCCCTTTACCAAATTCTGTGGAACATTCCATCATGCACATAGACTTAATATTGCAATGTACTGCTGCTTCATGGTTATTCTTAGTATTAGACAGTGAAAATGTAAGATGCGTATTGATTTTTTTCAGTTCCCATAAAGAGTGCAAAAAGGCTGAATGAGTAAACAAGTACATTGCAAAGGTCAGAATAGTACAGTTAAGTGCCTATGAAGAAGGTGGGGAGAAACCCACTTATTCACTTTTTCCATTATTGGCAGCAAGATCCAAGACAGGAGGACTCTTCTGGGGCAAACTTCCATTGACTTCTTGCTTCCGTATCTGATCCCTGTATGCACAAGGAAAGAATGGTTTTATAGTCTGTTTTTCTGTGAGGTTGCCTTTCAACTTTTTGCTCAAAAAAAGCTGAGCAACATGAGACGTAACCCTGCCTGAGACTCCCGCAACATCCACTGCTGGTCTACTAGAAGTTCTCTTGAAAGACACAGAACATAAGAACAGATGTCATCTGTTTTAACATCAAAGCTGTAAGTCAGTATGACTGGTCTGTAGATTGGGTTCAGGAAAAAAAGTAGTATTTTCTGGAATTGGTGGGCAATGTTATGGACCTGGCAGCGTGGCTTGGAGAAGTGGTACAGAGCCCTGGAACAAGCACACAGGGCCTTGCACCATGGTCTTGTCACCTCGCAGTACCACGGGCTCCACAGGCAGTTTTGTGTGTCCTTGAGAGCTGTGCAAGAAGCACAGCTGTGACATAGGAGCAAACTGAGAAAAATCTAGGAGGGAGCAGTCGTAATGTTTCTTCCTGCTCTTCCCTATGCTGAAGAAATAACTCTAATTATTCATTCCCTGGTAGGTACTGAAGGTGGCACTCCAGCACAGCCCACTACTGCCTATTACTCCTAGCCAGAGGCTTGGCAAAAGCAGACCCAGACAGATCTCCAAGCCTGAAGCACTGGGAGATGTGACTGGCAAGCAGCACGTGTACAGTATCCAGCAAAACCTGTAATTTCTATTTTGGCCACACCGTCTCTTTAAGTACCCCTCTGCCTATCCTAAATCTACAACTAATTTTGGTCCATTACTCTACAAATGCAGGTAAGCAGAGATAGCTGGACTGTCATGCAGAAAGAACCGCAAAAGGTTCATCCTCTAGGCAAAGTCCAATTTAGAAGTGTGTTTTAATGACATTTCTAGCAACAAATACTCTGAGCGAGACAAAATTAATTGATACTGCTTGATATTATGTTATGTTAGCATGTGCACATTTAAAAGCTCATTTCCTTTTTCCTAGGTTGGAAAGAGGGCATGTATTAACTCTCATTAAAATATAAATTGATGACTAAACATTTATACACTGCACATTAAGCCATCAGGGTAGCCAAAGATTCTCTAGCACTCAACCAATATTTGTTAAACTAAGCAACAGTGGCTCACTCAGAATAAATGAGGTAATCAACGCAAAAGCACAGTTGCAGAGTTTCAAAACTCCAAGAATTTCAAAGACCCAGGCATGGATAAAGACAATAATACTCACCTTGAAGCATACCAGTAGTTGACCAGAGTTGAAAGAACAACATAAGAAATACTCAGTACTCCAGAAACTCCCAGTGACAGTGCACCCAGGCCACACAGCACACAAAGAAGGGCTATGCCACCTATGGCTATTACAAAACCTGACAAAAGAAAGTCAGTTTGTTATTTAAACAAGTTTATATGCAAGTGAATTAGAAAAGCTGACATTCTACCACCACCCCAAATTCAAACCATTTGGGAAAACAGTCTTCTGCAATCAACTAGCTAGCCACTAGAAAAGCTATGCATGCTCAAGATAACTGGTTTAGCTATATCCTGGTGGCTGAGACTAGAAAGGGAAATAGGATTTCCCCTGTAATGACTAGAGTTAATCAGATTACTATTCTTGTATTAAGAGTTTCACTACTGCTAAGAGCCGAGGACTACATACAGAAATCCTCAACTGCTTGAACTGGGAACTCCAGAATGATGAGGGAAAAAAAGGAAGACATCATGCCTTAAAAGGAGTAAGTAAATAAATACATAAATGCACACAATACCTTCCATGACTACCACACCGATACAGGCCATTACAGCTGTTGCAAAAACAAAGATCAGGAAAAATGCAACGGGAATAGCAGACACTGCAATAAACACCAGGACTGATAAGGCAACGAAAGGATGGTCATCTAAATATTGGCCAACACGGGAGTTCATGAATGCAACAACCTGTGGATGAAAGAAAAACATTTCAGATTTTATTTTTCTCTTTTGTCACATATAACTTTTACAGTTCAAGTCTGCAGCTTGAACAGAGGGCAGCTGTTGCCTCTGTATTTTAAAAGCATGAGGACTTCTGCAAATTTAGATTACTGCATAGCAAATATAACTCTACCACCCCCAAAAACAAGTACAAAAACCTAATCACAGTTTAGCTGCACAGATTTGAGTGGGGTTTCAACAGCTAAGATTTTGATCTAGAGAACTGCATTTCTTAAGAAAAATACTGTTACATTTAAAAATAATGATGGGTTTTCCTTTTTCCATGCATCAGTAATATCTGCAACCGGCTTATTTACTGAGCCTCAGTACAGTGCAAGCACGTCTGTATGATAATGTTGTTATGAATTTAATTATATTACTGGTAGAAAAAAAAACCTTTTATAGAGGCAGTCATACCTATACACTGGAATTTTACTGTAGTAGAGACATTTCCCTTAAGGAAATACGTATTGTAGTTTTAGTTATTTTGCTAGTGGCACAACCATTTCACTAAAATACCACTCTACTATCTCAAATGGTTATACCAGTAAGACACAGAAAGTGGAACTGGCTTTCCTTTTTCTTAATTGCTGGGTGTGGGAAGACAGTCCTCCCCTTAGGCTCCTCAGTGTTCACTTAAAAAAGGGAGTGCCAATTTTCTCAAAAAAAAAAAAGTTTCGAAACTGCATTTAAATAAATTGGGGTGTGATATTCCAAGAGTTATGAAAGGAGTATCTTTATAAACATATTATATAAAATTGTAATCCAGACCCACGTTTGAGTTGCTGTGGATGGTCTGCACTATGGAGTGCCATTGCTTCTGCAGCTCTTGCATTTCCTTAGGCATCTTGTAATCCTCTGCAACGATCCTGAATCTTCTATACACCCAGTTCTCACTCAGCCATCCAATTTCCCCTAAAATTAAGGTACAATTAGTAACAACCTCATGCAGACATGTTGTGAAAATGAAGTATTTCTGTTGAAAAAACAGAGGATCTAGACTTCAGATGTTAATGAGATCTTACACAGAGTCTAAAACATTACTTTTACAGAAGTAAATCAAACTTTGGGTGCTCATCCCTTAAAGCTCTTCCTAAGCTCCCAAAGCGAAGTATCAAGATACAAGGTGACTCTCACCTTCTTCCTTTATAACATTAACCCTGTATTGAACAGCAAGGGCATTGAATTATCAGTAAAAACTGACAATTTATTGCTACTAGTGTTAGAAACTTGTAATACATTAATGTGAGTTGTTTTTTTGAGTAGCCTCACACTCGGAATTGAAACCATACCCTGTATAGCTTCTAAACTCTGCTTTCAAATGCTCTGAACGTCGTAACAGCTTAAAGGCAACATCAGACCAAAAAATCTCCCTCCGCCACAAATTTAACCTGTTGTTGTTGCTAGGGAGAGATTAAAAGATGCAGTTTCCTGCTTGTAAAGGCAAATGCTCACCCTGTCAATGTTAGTATTTCACACTCTGCCTACACACGGGGTGCCCCGCTTTGTTTACACAGGATTTTCACCCGGCAGCCTCGGGCCCCTCGCCGCTGCCCAGCGGGCCGGGGGCGGGCAGCTCCCCCCGGGGCCGCCACCCCTCTGAGGCCGCAGCGCCCCGGCCCCAGCCGTTACCTTCCCCTGCGCCCGCCGCCTCCACCGGACCCTTCCAGCCGAGGTCAGGAGCCGATTAACGACCCCCCGCCGTTGCCCGTGCGGCGGGTGCGCCGGCATCAACCCCTCGAAGGCAGCGGTCGGGCCGCGGCCTCCCCGACCTGTACGCCGGGGTATAGCGTGGGTCTCCCCGCCACGCCTCGCACCAAGCGGCGGTGTGGAGGCCGCGCAGGGCTGAGGGGGCCGCGCTGCCCCATCGCGGCGGGCTGGGGGAACGCTGCCCGCCCGAGCTGAGGGAGGTAAGGGGGGAAGCACGGCTCCCGCCCTCCCGGGGCTGTGCCGCGCTGCTGCTGCCGGCCCTCCCGCTGCGACCGGGCGGCGGTCAGGTCTGACAGGCCGCCCCGCAGTCCCCGGCCAGGCAGAGCAGGGCGGCGCCGCTCCCCGCCCGCCCTCCGCCTAGCCCGAGCCGTCCCTCTCACCTCCCGCGGCGGCAACCCGCCTGGCCGCAGCCCTTCTCGGCAGCTGGTCCCTTCGGATGCGACGCCCGGCGCGGCCCGGGCTGGGCCTGCCGGCGCTGAGGGAAGCGCCGCCGCCCTCCTGCCGCTGTCTCCTCCCCGCGGGGGCCGGCGGCGCGGCGGGCAGGGCCGGGGAGGCTGAAGGAGGGAAGAGGGCCGGGGCAGGGCCGCCCGTGGCGTTGGCGGAGGAACCGCAACGAGGTGTTTGCGAGGAATGGATTAGGAAGTCCCTGGAGGTGTTCAAGGCCAGGCTGGATGGGGCTTTGAGCAACCTGCTCTAGTGGGAGGTGTCCCTGCCCACGACAGGGGGGTTGGAACTTGATGATCTTCAAGGTCTCTTCCAACTCTTAATCATTCTGTGATTCTATGATAAGGTCTCCATAGGCCGCCCCAGGGTTTTGGGGCTTTTATTTATTTCCTTCTTGTGCCCTTTCATGTCACCCTTCCTGTCCTGCCTTTCACAGCCCAGGCCCTGTCTCAGCTCCTGAGGGCTGGGCACCTTCAGGGAGGGACCCGGGGTTTTGTGTGGCTTGAGGACACGAAGCATTGAGCTTTTTCGGATTAGGGATAGAAAAATTATTGTAGCTGTGACAGCCATGCAGTTCCTCCCCGAGGGAAGCCTCAGACTCTGGCTACTTGTTCCCACATGTTCCCGGCCTGTCCTGCTGCCTCTATGGGTGTTTGGGTGGCCATGGGGCAAACCTGTTTGGAGAAATGCTCCGTGCGAGGAATAATTGCCTTAAAAATTCATCTGACTTTTCAGCACGATCTGTCCCAGAGTTTGGATGGGGCTGTGCATCTCAGAAAGGGTCCTCACTGAGGTGTGTTGCACCATGGTTTGGCCTGGCTGCATTCCAGAGCTGCCATCATGGTGTTACGTGCGAGTGTGAAACTTGACTGAATTCCCAGCTTTTGCTACATTTTTCGTGCTGCAAATTACGGTCAGAAATTAGTGAAATATTCATGTTTCTCACAACTGCTTTAATCACTCATTTTGATCTGTGCCACCCACGAGAGAATTGCAACACCAAACATTAATGGTTTTGTGATTATTTTTCAAAGGCAACAAAATAAATAGCGTGTTTAATTTGGAGCATGCCGATCTTACAATGCAAAGAGAGATTTTATAAAGTATGGGGGTTTTAAGCTATGTTAGAGCTGTGTCTTTGAGGTGCTGATTTCAATGAGCTTTGCAGGTACAAGGATGTGTGTAGACAGAGGAAGTAAAAGAGATATTTGCATATTAATGCAAGTTTGCATCATGGTCTCTAAAAGCCCAACACAAGGTACTTGCAAGAAGAGGACAGTGAGGTCAAGTTTATTTTGCTTGAACTGTTAAAGTTTCTTTATCTCATATTAAAGTGCATAGTGTGTGGATATTCCTAGTAGACTGGTGTATATGAAAATAAATTTCAATTTGTTGATTTTACATAACTTTTTAAAGTGAGCATAGGGAAAAACTAAATGGTAGAATTATAGTGTGACATAATCCAGTGGTAATGGCACGATAAAGTTTAATGGCTCCACTGAGTTTAGAAGTGTATTGGAGTTTTTAAATTTCTGGCTGTTTCAAAACATGCCGTAGCTGCAGTTTTGGAGATAGCCTTGTACATCTTAATAAAATGTTTTCCTGCAATGCATAATTATTTCTTCTGCTACAAATTCACACATATAATCTCTTTATATATAAAATGACTGGTTTTCATCTTTCCAAAGCAGTAATTTATTTAACTTCAAAGGACATGCATAGATAAGCATCCGAGCTGTTGTGCACAGAGGAACAGTAGTTACTATAACTGTTGCTTAATTAAGCTTGTCTTCATGCCAGTGTCAGCTTGAATTAGCAGGAGAATATTCATGTTGCAAACCAGCACTGAAATATTTGCAGAATTAACACACACAGTAGCTGAGCAATTGCCAGCTCCAGCACTGGCACCGCTCGTTCTGTACCCCATGGTGCTGGCTTGTGTTTAAAGAGCAGCTTAGTTTGTGGTAGGAACCTTCACGTGTGGCCAGGCAGGAACAATGTTCCACTTGTGGTTGGTATTGGGTCCAGATATAAGGAAAACAGTGCTGTTAACTCGGGGATATCAGCTATTCTCACAGTTTACAGAAAATAGGACGAAAAATAGCATCCAAAGGTGTTGGGAAAGACTTTAAGTTAAAATGGAAGTCTTGCTGCATTGGCAGAACATGTTCAAGGCCTCTCTTGAGTTGGTATAAGGAGACTGGACTAGATTTCATGTTGGATGGTAATAATTCCCATTTCTGAAGAAAAATGTGATGGAAGACTCTTTCAGGACATAGTGATGACTGAGTGGGAGGCAAATGCATACACGCAGACTTAGAGGAACTGGGAGTGCAAGTATCCCACCTGCTGTCTTTGGATCTTCAGAGAGTTTGATTGTGAATGGTGGGAAAGTGGTGGAGATGTTTGGGTTCAAGATTTTGAATCTTTAATATTATTTTTTTTCCCTAGTTCTTCCTAAGAAGATCTGGGGTTATATAGCCTTTATTGCTCTGGGAGCTCCCTTGCTGCATGCAGTGTTTTCATGCAAATGTCAGGATATCTGAGATGTCTCAGGACTTTTTAGTTGCTTTCAGAGGTAAAAGTTTCTCATTGGTTCCACTACTGAATCTCCCTGACCACAGTTTGGCTAACACTGTGCTGAAAGGGGCTGTTTTCTTTCTGCTGGAGGAAGAGAGGGAGGAGGGAATTCCTGTCTCCAAGCACCAGCTAGGCTGTAACTGGGGCAACGAAGCTGAGGACTGAAAGGCAGAGTGTCAGAGAAGTTCACCACGGTGGAAAAGGCAGAGGGACTGGTGACGAGGGCACCTGCAGGTAGTACCTGCTCTTACTCTGCTTGATCATGCACTCTGTGCATGTGTAAGGTGTGCTGGGCATCTCTCTGTCTTTCCCCATTCCTTTTGATGGGTGCGTATTTCTCATGGCAACATGTGGCTCTGTCTGCTGTAAACAACAATTCGGTCCCTGGGACATTAGAAGAGAACAGGCAATGGGGAGGAAACTGGTTTTGGAGAAAGTGGAAAGAGCAAGGGTGGAAAAAATCTTGCTTGAAAGACGTCTGGAGAGAGAGAGATTAAGGTGAAAAGTGAACTTGAGGAGGAATGGAGAAAAAGAGTGTGTGTGGTTTCGAGGAGAACAAAGCTTAGTGTTGTAAACAAGAAAGGGGAGCACTGGGATTTTTCTTCTTCCTGGCGGTTAGGATAGGAAACTGATTGTTTTGACACCTTGTGTCGTACCTGAAATGAGTCTCTAATTTTTTTCCAGTGCGTGTAATGAAAAAGATGTTTATATTGATGGGGAGGATCAAAAACTTCTAAGCAGACGATAAACCAAAGCAAAATGAAGCCAACACAGAACCCAAGGCTCCTGGAGGTAAGTTCTTTCTGCAGTAGCTGTGAAAGGTCAGTAACTTTTTGAAAACCTCAGATGAAATTGTCCATTATCTGTGGCTAGTGGTTTGACATTGGAAAAACTTATTTGAAGACACTTGTTCTTGTTGATCTAAGCCTTGGATCTAAGCCTTTATAATACACTTCTTATTAAGAATTCCTTTGCTCAAGTATTTAACTTTTGGAAAGATTAGGTGGCATAAATCAAGAGTTGCTTTAGAATGAACAATGACTTTCTTAATAACTCTTGTACCTTTAAGAATGAACAAATCTCCTAATAAACTGCATGGTTTATTCATTTTGAAAGTACCCTAATCCCTTAGTCATTAATCAAGAACAATTCATGCTGTCTTCAGCGAAATAGGCCTGGTAGTGATAATGTCTTGATTTCTGTGTGTCTGTGTGCAGGCGTGCCGGGGAATATGAAGGAGGTAAATCAGACCAGCCTTTTTGCAAATTTTATTTCTAAATGGACTCTACTTTGGTATTGAGAAGGGCACAGTTTTGTCTGCTGGAAAACTAGGTATTGAGCAGCCTAGTTTTCCACTCATATATCAGAAAGCAATAACCATGTGCTAAAAATGTATTAAATGTTATGTAAAAAATTATTATTTGTTGTATTGGGTAAGAACATCCTCTTTTCTGGTGATTTTAATTCACTGACATTCAGATACCACATACCTCCACCTCCTTTTAAAAGATAGTGTCACTCTGTATTTGGGAACTTATTCCTCATGAATCTCCTAAACAAATTTGATTTAGGAAACTCAAGAGCAGATGAGGGGTGAGGTTTTGGGCTACACTAAGGAAAGTTGCCATTCAAAAACATCTTAAAGTCCTGTAAGGCCAAATAATTCTAAGCAAATATCGTTAAAAAACTTTGTAGAGTCCTGGAAGACCACCTCAAAGTACTGTCAACTTGAGGAGCTGGAACATAGTCCAAAAACGTATTAGGTAATCTGACATTTGTATTAGAACACTTCAGAGTCCTTGGGAGCAATTGGTTCTTCCAGTAGCATCCTGGCAATAGGTCTTCTTCTGGATCTGGGTCACTATAGAAATGAAGAAATCTAGTTAGTATGTTTTTTCTCTCTGGTAACACAGTTCATACAGCTTGGACTGTTTCACTGCCAGTTTGGCAGTCTGGTAGGTTTTAATATTTTAATACTCAGTGTTTATACCATTACAAACTCCACATGGCATGTGGAGCTTTTAGTATAACTAAAAAGATCTCAAAAAACTTGGATTGTTTTCAGTGATATGAAAATGTTGGGGTTTTTAATTTAACATTTATTGGTCATTAGAAGCTTTATCAAATGACTACAAAGAACAGTGCAATCTGAAAAATTATTTTGTTCTCTGTTTCCTTAAAATTAGAAAAGTGGCAATATGTCCTTTTCAATGAGAACGGAAAGTCTCTGTTGCTTCTGAATGAATCTTTTTCAAAAGAGTGTATTTCATAAGTGTCTTTGAAGTTGTTTTTCATTTCTCTCTAGTCACAAAACGATTCTGTGTATAACATGAGTCATGCAAAACAGTTACCGGAGTTACCGCCCCTACATGCTCCTGCTTCAGCTGCACCTTCAGAATTGTACCAGGTACGTGCACTTTCCCGTTCTGTCAGGGTATATATTAAATTACATGTGCTGGCATGATTTTAGCCATCGTATATAACCAGGCCATAGGCAGGTGAAGTAAAGATAGGCAAAACTATTTAGATTAATAAGTTAAAGTACTAAGCGGATTGTCAGGTACTTCATTAGAGCTGCTCTTATTTAGAAAAGTGTTGGTTACAACTTCTATTATGATTTGCATATTGAACCTTGGCAGTCTAAATCTGTTCTTTAAATTTTTACTTAGTTATTTTCTGTTATATTTTGGGTTAAATAGTTTGGGTTAAATAAGTTTCTGGGGAAGGGAGCAAATAGTAAAAGTACTTTTCTACAAAAGAAATTGTGATTCTCCCCCTACCAATACTTTAGGTATTACTTTTAGCACAGAAAGACCTGAATGAGACTGCTCTTCCAAAACCAACTGAGAACTTGACAGGGGCAGCATTGATGAGAATGGATAGATTGTACAGCTGCACCGCTACAGCCTCTGCTGTGTGACACAAATCAAAATTATGTATGACAACACTTAAGGGGAGGAAGGAGAGAGAGCTGCCTCTCCCCACCTTAAGTGCATCACAGTTGCTCATTTGGCTCGTTTGTGTCAGCACTTTGGTTCATCTAAGATGTCTTTCTTTAGAAAGATACTGTTTGTGAAGAAATGGAGGTAGTTTCTGTTGAAAAATGGTTTAATCTGTATTATTGCTCAACTATTACAAGGATTATTAAAAGTAGGTCATTAACAAAGGCTTGAGGAATAAGAATTTTCTAAATTTAAACAAATATAGGGAGAGGAAGAAAAGAAGCAAGATGGAGATGTTGGGGAGTAAAGAGTATTAGATAATGTACTAATGCCTTCTCTTATTTATAAAAAAGACCTTGATTATGCAAAAAAGCACAAATACTCCTACTGAAATGTTGCGTAAAATTATTCTTATGCATGTGTAGAACATCAAGATCTAAAAATAAATTGGTGGTCAAAGTCAGACTTATGTATTTGCTCTTTATACTAATTGATTTTTAGCCCTGGTCTAGCTCTAAGAAGACTCTTTCAATTACTGTGCTGTGTAAAACTATTGCTTTTTTTTTTCTCCCCAATTTCAGGTTTTCCTTAAGGAAAACGCTTACCCTCCTTTGATGCAACAAGCATCGTGGACTTTAGCAGCTCCTTTCAAAGAACAGCGTTACTACCGAAGCCCAAGTGACTCCATAGCTAATAACTACACGCTTACTGCACGGGATTTAAAATTGAAAAATGTGCACACATTAAACTCCTCTTCAATGCCAGGGACATCTCTGGGTTCAGCCGAGCCGAGCACAGCCTCACTGCGTATCCATATTTGAATGTGTCTATAAGTTTAGCCTTGCTTGTTCTATACATTTTTGTCTCTAATTGCTTATCTGTTAAAGCGTTGTCCCTGGAAAAATCACTATCCCCAATAAATACCTATAAGTTTATCACCTCAGGGTCAGTATAGACAAATTTGCAAAAGCATACATAACTTTAATAAAGGTAAGGCAAGTTTCTGATTAATTAGCTTGGTTCATCCCTCCAAATAATCATGTGCAATTGTTTGCAAAGCAGAAAATGAACAAAATACAAGTTAGCTCTTATTATTGCTAGAAGTAAAAGTTAGTGCCAACTAAACAAACAAATTCAATGTGCACCCCTGTTATGCTCATATTCATGAGTCTTATGTAGCGAAACAAGATGGGGAACAGGTGTTAAAATGTTTATGTGATGATCAAATCCAAGAAATGTTGTTTAATACGCTGTTTACGTCTAAAACATCTAAATGGATGTATGTGTTAGCAAACTGTGCATGCACATGTAAATCCTGCAATATGAGATATTGTATGCTGTTGATTCAACACGACATTATGATATCAAGCAAATAAGGTTAACAGTTGTAACAGTCTTGCTATTTAAATTTACAAATGCGTATATATCAAACATTTTACAAAAACAAGTTGTTTAGGCTTTAGGTATCTTACTAGTTGCAAGTGTCAAATTAACTCCATTACATAGTCTGAAAATTCCAAAGTAATTTATTAATGAGCTTTATCTCCTCATTATCTATATAAATGTCCTCTGTATCAAGGGTAAGAGATTCATAAACTATAGTTTTCAACATACTGTCTGTCTGTGAATATACTCATCCTGCATTGTTGCTTTGCTTTCCTGAAGTGTTAGAAATTGTTTCATTTCCCTGGAATAAGTGAGGCATAATAGCTTCAATATCTGCTTAGTTCCCTTGTATGCTATTTAGGAAGTGTTTAGTTCATTGAGTGTCTCTAACAGTTTCTTTATCATACACCTGTTTTCTTCTACTTTGTGTACTTCTCCAGTATGCGGGTGAGATGTGGGAAGAATGTCATGGTACCTTTCTTGGTGAAAAGGCATGATGTATTAATTTTGTTAAAAGACCTGTTTATTTGTACTCTGAAAAGCACATGATAGTAGTTTGTAGTTCTCAGATTTTTCATGTGCAATATATTTGGTGAACTATATTTTTTATAGAAGTGCATTTATACTCAAAATAGAAAGTCGCAGTGCAGAAAATACAGTTTGTGCAGGGGGGTCAGTAAACACTGAAGTCTTAAGCATGAGCTGAATGCTTTCCTGAACCTAGTTTATAGTCCCAGAATCAGTAAGATTATTTTACACATTATTTTAATGTCTTGCTAGATGCTAAGTCAAAGCTGAAGGCTTCTTTGTTACATTGTAGTTTTCTGTTATTTCATTATCTGATTAACATACTTGGCTCTGTTTTTCACTTGAAATCTGAAATAATATCTCAAAAATATTCCTGTATGTGATTTTCTTAACTGGTGCTTAAAGCTTCAAAAGAATTTGAGCCTTCTAGGAAAAAGCTCAAACTTCTGCAAAGCAGTCAATGGAATTCTGATAGGTAATGTACTGTAATGGTATGAATGTACAGATTATTGCAGTCAGCCTAGATATCCGAGTTGTGATTTAATATTTGTTTCTACTTGGATGTGATGTTAAGCATCCAAGCAGGAAATGTTGTCCACAAAAAAATGTACATGCATCAAGACTGAAATTCCATGGTGTGCTAAGCAAGCACCTTTAACTGCATCTTTGTGGCAAGGACAAATTTCAGTTCTAGGCATGCTAAAGGAAAGGTCTTTCATGATTACTGAGTATTGCTCATCCTGAGCAGTGTGGACAAAGGCCCTATAGAAAACAACATATAATTATGAAAAAAGACTGTAGTGTAACATTTATGCAAATGAGCCAATTTGAATTTTTGGCTCAGTTTGTTAAGGTTTTCGTAAGATAATCGCCTGAAAATAGGTGGAGATCTTGGACAACCTAAATAATAGCACTAATGGGCCTGGCTCTCATAGGCAGTATCTTAATAAACAATTCTATCTGAGTGATACTGTGCAGTTGTAAGGTTTACATGATTGTATTTTTTCTGTTAAAGTAGTATGCGATGTTACACAATTTTACTGAAGGTTTTATGGGTCATTGAAATACTTCATAGGTCACACTTGTCCTCAGTGCAGTGTAAGTGCTTTATACAATGCTTGCCATTGGTCCATATTAATTTAAGAATCTATTACTGCTTCTTTATTCACTGAACTTGTGTTCTTTTTTTTTTCAGCAGTATACCAACTTTGTTAAACAGTTTGGATCCCATCTCACTGTGTGCACCTGCTCATATGCCAGAATTACGTGTTATACATTATACAGACAACCAGCCATTGACCCCAGAAGAACAATTTTTTGTCATGCACTTACGTGAGAAGGAGATAAGTAAGAGAGAAAAGCCACCTTCAGGAAATGATATAGAGGTATTTATATAATTTCTTTCAAAGATAAAAGTAGCAGCAGTAATCATCTGCAATATATGTCTGTAAAATGTTTACTTAAAAATAGTTGAGAAAAGAAGACAGTACCCAAGGTTTAGAAGACGTAAATATTCAATATAGCAAACTGCTGTTAAATATTGTCAACTCCGTTCCCATTTGTTTCTCTTTCTATCTGATTTTCTGTCTGATTTTTGTTCTAATGGTTTTGCAACTAGAAGTATTTTCCCAAATTCTTAACCTCTCACATTGTTGGCTAGTACTTCAGAGATCAGTAATTTAATATGCTGCACTCAGTTCTGTTGGCATAAACGCTTACATCAAAACAGATGGAAGTATTGTAAAAATGTCAGGCATTGTCAGTGCTTGAAAAAGAACCAAGAAATAAATTGCCAAAATCAATTATATTCAAACACTTTTCAGTTGGGGAAAAGGTCCAAGTGATAGAAAAGGTGAAAATATTTTGTAGTAATTCATTATCTGACAGAAAATTAATACAATATGTATAATATTTTTAACATTTTTTAGCGGTACTGTTACTACATATATAATGGAGTGCAGGAAGACATGCTGGCACCTCAGGATAAGGAAGTGATGAATGTAATTTTAAAGCATATTCCGACCCACATTCTTGCTAACAAAGACCTGGAGAATTCACTTGCAAGTTTAAAAGAAGAGATTGAGGCAGACTATCGTATCAGCCTCATGAAAGCCATTGGTAAGACTGAAAATCTCTTAGCAATTCAGAGTACGTAGACATTTAATGCACTTTGAAAGCAAGTCTGCATTCTATTCTTAGCACCCATGGAGAATTCCTTTGGGGTCAGTAGAACTGCAATAGACATCTGAGAGAATATAATCTGTGATCATGCTACGCTGAAACATTCCAGTTTCACTAAATAGGTATTTACTAAACCTTACGTCCCATCACTTAATTATGGTCAGACCTGTTGGAGCGAGTCCAGAGGAGACCATGAAGATGATCAGAGGGCTGGAGCACCTCTGCTATGAAGACAGGCCAAGAGAGCTGGGGTTGTTCAGCCAGGAGAAGAGAACGCTCCCTGGAGGCCTTCTTGCAGCTTTCCAGTATCTGAAGGGGGCCTACAAGAAAGCTGGAGAGGGACTTTTTACAAGGGCATGTAGTGAAAGGATGTGGAGTAATGGTTTCAAACTGGAAAAGCGGAGAATTAGATTAGATATTTAGGAAGAAGTTTTTCACTGTGAGGGTGGTGAGACACTGGCCCAGGTTGCCCAGCGCAGTATTTGAGGCCCCATCCCTGTAGGTGTTCAAGACCAGGCCGCAGTATTTGAGGCCCCATTCCTGGAGGTGTTCAAGACCAGGCTGGATGGGGCTTTGAGCAATCTGGTCTAGTGGGAGGTTCCCTACCCATGGCAGGGGGGTTGGAACTAGATGATCTTTAAGGTCTCTTTCAACCTAAATCATTCCATGATTCTGTGGTTACCAAGTTTAGTAGTTCCGGGTACACAGAATCATTTCGTCCATACTTACGCAGTTTCCCTTCCTATTTAAAATCCGAATCACAATCAAAATGCATAATTCTGCATCATCTCATCAGATGTAAAAAGAGGGGGCTGATCAAATGATGGTGGACAAAGAGTAATCATCTTAATTTGTAACAAAATAAATTAGAAAAGCATCGTTACTATAAAGATAGGGAAGTATTAATTGATGGAGGCTTTGAAGTGAATGATAGGTAATCTGTCAATAGCGGTCTAAGTCTTTTGATCCTGATGTAGGGAGAGGGTAAGCTAGGCTATTTTAACAGGTACTTCCCAAACTAACATTTTTATTATTCTGCAGTGAGTGATATCCATTAACAACTAAATTAATCAGTCTCTTAACTCCAGTGAAGTCAGATGTTACATGGGGATTATGTCACAACTTCAAAGAATTTCATTTAAGACATTACAGGATTAAGGAAAATTAGACAATACATTAATCTCCATGATTACATTGCTCATGTTCAACAAATAAAGTTCATAAAATATAAATAAATACAAAAGAATGTCATAATCCTTGAAATTCAGTAGTGCCCATCTCAAAATGAATGTGAGAGTTCTGTAGAACATGAGATTTTTTAATTTGCTTTCCAGTAGTCTTACAATTTTCTTGGGTTTTCTACATATTAAATAATTCCTTTCCATTTTCTTAAATATGTGCACCACATCTACTTAAAAAGGTGTGATTGCACAGTTTTCACTCTGCCTTCTATAGTCCCCGATATCTTTCTTAGTATCCTTTAGTTTCTCTTTTATCAATGTCACAATTGTAGTGTTTGTGGTCCCTTTTTGTGATTGTGCTAATGTCAATAAGGGGTAGTGAGTCTGCTTCCCAGCTTCTTTTAATCTCATATGTGATGGACCAATGTTTGGAACTGGTAGCACATGAGTTTTGGCATTTAGCAGATCATGGAGTGGTCCTTTGAATGTCATATCCTTCCTAGATGCAACAGATGATTCATAGCATTCCTGTATTTCACAAACATTTAAGATGCCTACTACAAATCATCTTTGGAAGAGATACTTTCACCCCTGCTTTATGGATGAGGAATTGAAGCACAAAATAAATGTGCTTTAACTGCAAAGACAGAACAAAAAGCGATTTCTCCTGCCTCCTGTTTTTAGAACCATGACCAAGTCATGTTTTCTTTTTCTGAAATAATTTTATAGTCAAATTGGTAATTTGATATTGTGCTGTATTTCATCCTAAAAACATGCAAGTAACTATATACAGCGTATGAGTTTTAAATATGCAGAATTCCATGGCTTCTTGAACTATGGAGATATTGTGTTTTCATGTGTAGGTTTTGACCATACATGCAATCTCACCATGACTTACATGATTTGTTCTAGTTGATTACATCTTGTTGGATCCAGCTGAGAGAGAGAGACTGGTTATTGGAAGTATCCCACGCCCTTTTCCCCAGAGAGTTGTCCGAGCACCAGTCCCATGGCACAACTCTTACCAAGAAATGAAAAGCTGGAATGAAAGGAATCTATTAATAGTGAATCCATTGATGCCCGCTTTGCAACAGCTCTGGCTTTCTGAGTAAGAAGTCTTGTTCAAGAGGATTTTAGTTAAATTCAGAATATTTTTTATTTTATGGCTCATTTAGAATGCCTCTGCAGCCTTCTGTACATATGCTATGGAGATCCTGGGGGAGCCAGTAGAGAGAAAGCGGCAAAATCTATTCTGTTTTCTAAATATTATTTTTTTTTCTGAGTTTGTAAGAATTTAAACATAAAGTGATTGTTTCCTGCGGCCTCTTAATGCAAGCATAAACATATTTTACATGTCCACCGTGGACTTGTAAATGGATAAGATTCTGATATGAAAAGATCATCCTCTTTGCTAAAAGGTGTTATTCCTAAATTAAGATTTAATGCTCAAGTAAATGGTGATTTGTAATTCTTATCTTGATTCCTGAAATTAATTCTTAAAATTGAGTCTCTTTCAAATGCCTGTAGTTGGAAGCTGTTCTGGGGACTTTTGAAAATTGAGTGTTTTCTTATGAAGTTAAATATGGTAGTGAGTAATCCTGATAACTGGTTTTTTTGAGTAACATTTGAGTTTTTTTGAGTAACATTTGCAGGAATTTAAGATCTTGTATGTTACAGACTGTGATATATGCCACGCTATGAAATTATTATTATTTTTTTTTCCCTCAGGGTAGCCAGGATAGGTATTTATTACCATTAATATGGAGTAGAACCAGTAGGTGTCATTCTGTATGTTCTTTACTGCCTGGATACACGAATGAATCTAGGAAAAGGACAAGAAATTATTCTGACCATTTCAGCAAAAAATTAACAACATTTTAAATATAACAAGTATAAAGTTAAATTTGTGAAGCCTTTTATGTTTCTCAATAGCAAAAAACTGAAAGAACTGCACTTGTCAGACAGCTTATCAATGAAGTGATATGCGTCAATGAAATGATATTAGTGTTTATAAATACATGTGAGACCTTCCTGACTTTATTTCGTGGGTTTTTTTAAACAGAATTCCATAAAATACCTACTATTTGTTTTACTTCCATAGGTATAGTCATCTAAGGTTTGTTCGCACTGAAGAAGTGCTTTGTGGAGACCTGCCACTGTTGCCCACTGAATTTGAGGAGGTCATTCGAAGACACTGTGTGGAAGCTCACGATATTCTTCAGAACAAGTCTGTGCCAAATGTAGTAACAGTAGATAAATAGAGTATCTTAGGATCTGATTTACATGAAGCTCCCTTTTTTAAGCAGATCTTAGACTGACATGACACTAGTCCCAACCACAAGGCTGCCAAAACAAAGGGGAAAATAGCAGAGAGGGATAAACATCTGGATGCTAAAAGAGCTATTGAAACTGCAAGAGTGCTTGCACAAGAGCAAATGGGAATAAACTGGCTATGAATATTTGAAGGCTTCTAACCAAGGGAGGAGTGGAGTCTAAATCTATAAAAACAGTGACAGAAAACCTAATTTTTTTTAATTATGGAAATCGATCAATGTAAGAAAGAGATTAGAAGAGGTAATAGCCCATGATATTAGGTGACTGCATTCTGCCACCTGGGATCTCTTCCAGACTCAAGTTTCTCATTTAATGCTAATAATTTAATATTGTCACTAACATTTTGTCTATTAATATTAATTTAAACTAATAGTAGGGGCCCGTTGTACCGAGACTCCTTAGCTTAAAAACTCAGGTTTCTTATAAGTCCTGGTAGGTATAGTTTTGTTTGACATGTAATTAACAATTCTGTGCTAGCACTTTGACTTTTGCTCATTCTTTGCATAATTTCTGAGCTTAGATTTCATTGCAAGGAGCAAAGTAAGACTAATAAGTTTTTATAAGCTTTGTCTCCATATTATTTCATTGTAGGTGGATCCCAACTTGTGCATCCATTTTCCGTGACCAAAAAGAGAAATGGCTTCATTTTGCTCCTAAAAATGACTCTGATTCCTTTCAGCAAGTTGAAAGTTATTTTTGTTCGGTGGCAACTCTAATGTCATTACAGTTACGTGAGATGGTTGTTAACTCCTTAGAAGATCTTCTTGCATTTTTTATGATTCACAAGGTATATGCTATGCAGTATATCTATAGTTTTCAGTGTTGTATAGAGACAATAATTCATATAGCATTAAAATGTAATGCTCTTTGAAGGCTAAAATATCCCAGATAGCTGGGAGATGATTCTGCCCCTCTACTCTGCTCTGGTGAGACCCCACCTGGAGTACTGCGTCCAGCTCCAGGGCCCTCAGCACAGGAAAGACATGGACCTGTTGGAGCGGGTCCAGAGGAGGGCCACAAAGATGATCAGAGGGCTGGAGCACCTCTTCTATGAGGACAGGCCGAGAGAACTGGGGTTGTTCAGCCTGGAGAAGAGAAGGCTCCAGGGAGATTTATAGCAGCCTTTCAGCACTTAAATGGGGCCTACAGGAAAGATGGGGAAAACTTTTTAGCAGGGCCTGTAGCAATAGGACAAGGGGTAATGGCTTTAAACTAAGTGAGGGGAGATTTAGTCTAGATATAAGGTAAATTTTTTTACAATAAGGGTGGTGGAACACTGACACAGGTTGCCCAGAGAGGTGGTAGATGCCCCATCCCTGGTAACATTCAGGTTGAACAGGGCTCTGAGCAACCTGATCTAGTTGAAGATGTTCCTGCTAGGTGCAGGGGAGGTTGGATTAGATGGCCTTTAAAGGTTCTTGCCAAACCAAAATATTCTATAATTCTATAAGTCTTTTTAAAATTATTACAGTTGATTTCTTTGGCATGTAGAATTTTCTTTCTTTTCCCTAAGGAGGGAAGTGATTTTACAGAACCGTATCAAGAAATGCAGTTCTTTGTACCTCAGATACTAACAGTCAAACTCGGTGTGGAAGAACCCAAGATTGTCTTTGAGCCGCCTTTGAAAGAATGTTGGGATTTAATCAGTCGTTGCTTAAGGGTGATCCTGGACAGTGCCGAGGAACTTCCAAAGGTACTGGAAAAGTTATAGCTGCATACGAAATACAATATGAATGAAAACTGTATAATATAAAAAGTTATAAATGAGGTGGAAAACTGACAAATAGAAGGTAAAGATGAGGGTTATGTGTCACAAACTGTGTGAATTTTTTTGATTATAGAAGATAGCATAGGAATTGTTCTTTTTCAGATTCAAGTTATAGTAAAGCCCTGGTTTCATTTTCATATAGTTTTTACAAGCAAACTATGTGTGTAACCAAGTGTTAATTATGAATCAGAGCCTTTTCACATTGCAGCGGTTTTACCAAATAATACATTTTTTTTGAAGTGGTGGGTGAATGGGTAATAGAATACCTTATTTCCTCTATTGTATGTGTTATTTGCAATGGTTCCCTTTAGGTAGAAAGATTTCTGTTTCCAGCACTAAAAAGAGATGATCTCACTCTCAGTACAGTCAAACCAGAGGAATCATTGTTTTCAGAGTATGTGAACAAACTTGAAAAGATCTTTGAGAGCAACACACTTGGTCCACAGAAGTAAGTTTTGGCTATCAACTCCATTGCCCATCCAAACCCTCTGATTCATAACACTATCCATTTCCCTCGAACAAACAGTTTGAGTTGATTTCTTTCTTATTATAAAGAATCTTCACATTGGAGTCTTACTTTTTTTTTCATGATCTTCTATGTTTAAGGTATTTAAACGTGTACAGGAAATACAGCGATCTTTTGAACAGCAATGCACAGCAAGATGTCACAGATTTCTTGAAAGAAGGTCATTCTTTAGAAGCTTTAGCAGAGGTAGTATGTAACTGACATGTTCGTCCAGCAGTTAACATATCACACTTGACTTCCTAATATATTGTCTAAAAAAAACTCCTATGCAAATAGCTTGTTTCACACTTGGGAATTCTAGGGAAGCCATCCCAATTTACATAGCCCCTTACTGTAGGGCTGCTGTGCAAATGTAGAGGGAGGTTTCTTTATGGCCTCCTCTATGGGTTTTGTTGGGTCCTAGTAGAAGTCCAGTGGAAGGCTGCCCAGAGTATTTGGTGAATCTGCAGTTTGCTGGTCTTTTGACTCATCCTTAGTCAGCCTTGTCTACTTTTCTCTCTGCATTCCTGAGTTAGCCTATGGATAAATACTTCTCTAGGCAACTTGTGGTGTTCCTTAATATGGCATATTATTGTGCAGAGCTTTCAGCCCTGGAATCTGTGGATAGAAGCTGAGCTCTGGAAAGATAAAAAATAGTTGTTCCTTCTATTTGGAATGTATTATCCATTTTCTGGATGGGAACTAATTAGCATTGTTGTTCAGCCTTTTTCATGTATGGATTAATGAAAAAAAAATTAAACAAATTTATTATTTTTCATTTGTAGAAGATTGACAGCTTAACAGAACTGAAAAGAGAGATTGCTTCCATGCATGTCACTGTCCCTCTGGCCATGTTCTGTCTGGATGCCGTACAACTGAATGAGGAGCTCTGCAATCGGACCCAAAATCTTAAAGATAGATTGATTGAATTTGAAGTGATGGAAAACAGAGAGTTAAATGAAAGGTACTTGTTAGCATTCAAGATTGTTGCTGTCTGGGTGGACTGGTGCAGTATATCTGTGGCTGAGATAACTTAATTCATCTGCTGGGTTTGCTAGTGCTGACCAGACACGTTCGAGGATACCAAAGTGGGTATTTAGAATTAACAGAACAGAAATACTTGTAAATGAATATCTAACTTAGTCTGTATAGGGTGTACACAGAGGCTAGACTGGAATTACACCACTGTTCTTACCTCCTTTACTACTCTTCTAGGATTTGGGTTGAGGTCCTTGCTTCCCCTGCTGGTGTCCAGATAAAGCAACATGAAGAATGTGTTATGCAGCTCCGCATTTGTCTTGTCCCAGACTTTTTTTTTTCCCTAGGGAATTAATGGTCCTGATTTCATATCTTGCGAGTTTCAAGAAAAAAAAATAGTTTGGAAAATACAATTTGACTCCAATGTAATGGGATAGTCCTGATTCTGTGAATTAAAAGCACCCCCACCTGACTCCCTACAAACACCAAAAATCCCCAACAAAAACACCCCAACACTCTGGCAGTTAAAGAATAATTCCACAGTGAATGGAGAGAAACAGTCACCATAAAGAAGTTACTCAACCCACTTATCTAAAAAGCATCTCTAGGTGGAGATGAACCACGATCTAGAAGGGCCTCTCTGCCTCTGCTCATGGTGGTGGGAATCTAGACAATTGACGAGCTTTTGACAATGACCTTGTGCTGAACACCTAACATTTCGAATGCTTGAGGTGGTTTAAATAAACCTATCCTTTGTGTATGTTTGCTGTTCGCATGCCTGCTCTCTGTATAGCTATTTGTAATACTGAACTGCGATCTGGAACAAGAAAAAGTATCACTATGAAGAAGGAAAATAATGGTATTTTTTTCCTTTCTGTATTTATATAGAATAAATTTGATTGTTTAATAATTTTTCTCTGTATAACTTTGTTTCATACCATGCACTTGTTTATGGTTTTGTGGGGTGATTAAGTGGACTCTTGCTTATTGCATTCAAATATTTCTTTCTAAAGCAGATTGGGCCTTGAAAAGGAAATTCTAAACCTTTAGGAAGCAAACTGTTAATAGGCTGTTAACTGTAATTTGGAACTGATTAAGCAATCATTCTATTATATAGCAATACTTGTAAACATAGTAGGACAATAGAACTGATTGTACAGAGTAAAATGTCACCCTTAATAAATGCCTATTGGCTGTCTGTATTTAATCTGAATACTTCATTTATGAAGAAATTTAATATTCTGTTTAAAAAACAAACTTCATTAACAAAATCTTGCATCTCTCTTCACTTACATTTGCAGTGATATGTCTGTTTTCTTTTTGTTGTAGAATTTGCAAAGAATATAACTCAATTGCAAATAGACTAAGCATAGTGCCACTGAACACTGAAGAGATAGTGGAATCAGCTGCATACTTAAAGAGATCCAGTGAAGTTACTGTTCGTAAACTGAGACGGGAGGTCGCTGAAGCAACACACAGACTGGAATTCCTCATGGACTATGCTGATCTTTCTTGTATGTCTCAGTTACTGAATAGGAAAGTCTTATGTGAAAGTAATTATCTGTAGCTATTGGGCTCTGCATGGATAAGTGTTTCATCTTCTAGAATGCTAATGGAAAGCTCCAAAACAGACCGAAAGGAAATAAAAGGAATTTAGTAGAGGCCGAAATGTACAGATGCAGGAAGGAGTGGTTAGAGAAGTGGCATATAGCAAAGATAGTGCTTTTTTCTTTGTTTTAGAGAATGTCTTGGGCATTATCAGATTAATTGCATGTGATCTGGCCAAATGGTGTTACACCTCTGCCTTATTCAATAAGAAGTCTACAGTAAAAAACCACCTAAAAAGTGATGTCTTGAAGGCTCTGTGACAGCTTTTGGAAAGTGTGAGAACTTGCATCTCTGCTGTTCAGTATTAGATCAGTGGAGGCTTTTTGTCATTTTGCTGTTCTTAGTTAATATAAAGGCTGTTCTCCAAGATGGAAGGAAGATCTGTAGAAGTTGCTTTTAGTTGGCACTTCTATTCAAAGCAAAAAATATGCTGTTCACAAATGCTGTATGTTATTTGCTGTATATGTAAATGAAAAGCAGTTACATGAATGCATTCCCGTTATAGTGGCAGGATGATCCTTTCTCCTTAGAACAGAATACACTCTCAGACCAGACAGTGACAGAAATAACTAGGATATGACATGTTTATTAGAATTTATTTCTGATAAAAATCAGGATGCATATGGAAGCCAGGAATCACTTCTGTTACACTTTGGACTACAGTCTTTGTATGTGCAGTATTTCATAATTCCATATTATTTGCAGCTAGGTTTGTAAGTGTGTGCCCTGCAGTTACTTATAATGAGCTAAGTGCATTGAACAAATAGACAAGATGAAGATGGAGATGTTTGCTCATTGTAGTGATTGTGCTCTAGCTTTTGTGAATAATTCAGTATTTACAAATCATGGACTAAAAATGGTTTAAACTTTACTTTTATCCACCTTATGTAGGTGTGTTATATATATTTAGTTAGGAGTGGTCTGTCTCTTTGTGAGTTGAATGGCATTTATATTCTGGAATAGCTGTTCTTACTAATTTTCTCTACCTAAGGTCTTATTCAGAGAATTTCACATTCTTAACTTGATTTTAGAGTTTTGCTATCAATCTAACTTGTTTTGGAGAACAGTTCTTTTTGCAGTGAAGATAATTCAGCCAGCAGCTTGAAATGCATAGCTGCTTATTCCTAAATGTAGTTTTTGCTATTTTGCTTACTCTTCACAACAGCCATTCTATTATCATTTGTTAAAAGGTATTTTCTTAAAGATGTCTGTTTATTTTTTATTTTAGATGATGACATAAACCTGAATAGCACAGTTTTCCATTGGCCTGAACAGATTGAGATAATCTTTGACAACACCAGAGATCAGTTGCATAACAGGAGGAATGAAGCAGAGATGGCTTTGCTTGAAAAGTATGGTGTTAAGACATTTTCTTTTACTGTGTATTTTTAAACAAAAGAAAAATCTTACCAGTAAGAGTGAGATAATGTCAAAGAAGGAAAACTTGGAAGGGAGCTGAGAAGGAAGAAACCTGGTTTACAGTGTTATGGAGATTTCAGAAAAATACTGTTGATGAGGGTGGATTGGAATATTCCTTTGCTTAAAGAGGTCTGAAAAGAAGAATGAAGGATGTTGCTAGAATATTCGTAACTTTATCTTGTTATATTTATTAGTACACCATTACAGATTATTTTGTTACATTGTTTTTGTTCTTCCTTTATTTCCTCCAGGTAGTAAAGGTAGCAAACTTAAGTGAACTAAATCAGTTGGGAGGTTTGAAAATGAACCTTGAATTATAATATTAGAATATAATAATATCAACATAGTATTGATATAACTGATTAATGGGGTTTCACTGGCATCTGTATTTAATTTACACTAGTATTGAGATCAGTTTTCATTTGACAGTGCCTGTTAAAATTAATAAAATAACTTGAAACCTGAAAAGGAATGAAACAGAACATTGTATTACCTTAGCTATCTTTATCTCAGGTGTTCTCAGTTTGAGGAAACTCTTGAAGGTTATAATAGAGAAGTAGAAAGCTACAAAAAGCGGGATGTCATGACCATGGAAGAAATGAAGAACAACACTGAGAAATTTAAGGAGTTAAATAAGAATCTAGATAATGCACTGAAAGAATTTGAGGTTAGTATTTATTAGTCAAGTATGGAGTGGGTTGCAATGTGCTGGATGAGCAAAAGTTTGGTTCCTGTTCCTGTTTTTTTCAGGGTCTGGCCATATATTGTCAAGATTACTTTAAAATTTCCAATTCAAACATGTGGCAAATGTCTTCTTGTCCCTGTATGCTGACTTGTCCTTGCTGCTGAGTTGAAGAGCATATTTTTGAAGGAAAAAAGTTTAGGAGTTTTAAAAATTGCAATGCTGAATTTCACTGTTTCCAAGCAGTCAGTAGTAGCAGGATGCTATCCACAGAAAACAGAATTCTTCTGGCAGCGTTGGCAGGAACAGAATGGTAGGGAGGTGGTATTTTCCCTGAACAGTGGTTTGTGCTGCTGGAGCATTGTTTTCAGTCCCACTGCTTGTCCTCTAATTAAAACCAAATGTTTTTCTACTCTTTGTATCATTTCCAGAAGTTGCCTATAGGCATTAAATAGGTGGTATGTCAGAGAAATGGAAGTTTCAGATGCTAGAAAGAAAGGAGAGACCAAGATTCCTAGATTCTATTCAGGGGTCTCCATCCAGTGTCCTGTGTGGTTCTAGGTTGAATAGTTTGTCTTCACTGTGCCTCTGCTGGGTAATGAGAATGGTTACCTTTGAGAGATCTCACAGGCATTGTGAGGCTTAATTAATCTTCCAAATCACAGCGAGACAATGAGATTTCTGCATATATATGGAGCCTAAAGGATCATGATTTTAATTAAGTCCTGCTCAAAAGAGAGAATTGAACCAATTAAATGAGTTTAGGATTTAGATAAATTGCTAGTCCTACACATCAACACTCTTAATCTGATTTAAAGGCATCTGGTATATTTAATTAGTGTGAGTTAACAGCACTGATATGTTGTTATAGGTAGATCACAATAAGTAATTAAGTTTCTTAATGTGTGACACACAGAATTTAAATGACATGACAATCAGTTTAGTGAATGCATGAAGTTTAAAATTATCTTGGAATGTGGATCTTTAAGTTTCTCTGCCTGCACCTCACATAGAATGTTTAAGAGTTATATGAAAGGTCTGTCGGCATTGTAAGTGCACAGACTTGGGACTCAGACTGAATTTAGTGTCTGTGTTTCAGACAGCATTTCTCTGTGCTTCAGCCTCCCTAACTGTAAAATGAAGAAGACGATAATTTTTTAAAATCTAAATCTTTGCACGTTGATTTCTACTGTAAGGTCTTTTGGACAAAGAGAATATCTTACCATGAATAAGTACAGCCATTAATATCTCTTGGTTGGAGCTCCCAGATGTTTCTGTAATAGAAAAAAATAATCACAAGTAAAAAAATCCTGTGAGCCTACATGACTGAGGAGCTTACATCCAGGTTTCAAAGTGTGTTGGTACCTTGTGAGCCTTGGTTTCACTGAATGCCGTGGTGCATTACCTATTTCTAAAATAGATGCAGAATTTGAATAGTAAATGTTACCAACAAATAACTAGGGAAATATTCAAGAACACAGCTATCTTATTTTCCTAAAGTCCACAGGCCTAAATCTACAAATCTGACATGCAAAAAAATTGTACTTAATATTACTGATTTAAAAGTTTAAACAACAGTAGGAATTTTTGATGGAAATAAGATTATTTTTTTTTTTCTTAAAGGCTATTAATAAAGAAGAGGAGTAGTGTCTGTGTTTCAGACAGCATTTCTCTGTGCTTCAGCCTCCCTAACTGTAAAATGAAGAAGACGATAATTTTTTAAAATCTAAATCTTTGCACGTTGATTTCTACTGTAAGGTCTTTTGGACAAAGAGAATATCTTACCATGAATAAGTACAGCCATTAATATCTCTTGGTTGGAGCTCCCAGATGTTTCTGTAATAGAAAAAAATAATCACAAGTAAAAAAATCCTGTGAGCCTACATGACTGAGGAGCTTACATCCAGGTTTCAAAGTGTGTTGGTACCTTGTGAGCCTTGGTTTCACTGAATGCCGTGGTGCATTACCTATTTCTAAAATAGATGCAGAATTCTAAAATTATTTGAATAGTAAATGTTACCAACAAATAACTAGGGAAATATTCAAGAACACAGCTATCTTATTTTCCTAAAGTCCACAGGCCTAAATCTACAAATCTGACATGCAAAAAAATTGTACTTAATATTACTGATTTAAAAGTTTAAACAACAGTAGGAATTTTTGATGGAAATAAGATTATTTTTTTTTTTCTTAAAGGCTATTAATAAAGAAGAGGAGTTACTTGAGCGGGAGAAGAGTCAATTTCCTCTACTGCAAATTATAATTGCAAACAAACAACCCTTTGAGCAACTTTGGGTAACAGCATATGATTTCCATACCAAATCTGAGGAATGGTTGAATGGTGAGGCTTTGGTGTTCATTTGATGAAATGTGTCATTTTCAATTAGCTAAGTAGAAGCTGAAAGGGTTGATTAGTTGTGAAAAAATAATTTTGAAGGAATGCTGTTAAGCAGTGTGAAATAACAGCTGTTGATTTGGATGTTGCATTAAGATAATTTTTTGTAACACAATTGATTTCCAGTTAAAGGAGAATGATTATAAATACCTGTAAGTAAACCACCCTGGCAATCTCCTTGTGCTGATGTGGCTGCTGTGCTTTTTTTTTTTTTATTGTTTATTGTTATATTCAGGATCTCTCCAGAAGTTAAATGCTGATGAAATTACTGAAGAAATTGGAAATATGTGGAGGACTATGTACAAGCTCAGCAAGAGTTTTCCAGATTTGCCTGGGCCTAGACGCTTAGCAGGAAGTATGAAATATAAGCTTGATAAATTTAAACAGCATCTTCCTGTCCTGTCAATTGCCTGCAATCGTGGAATGAAGGAGAGACATTGGGAGCAGGTACTTTCAACTCAGCTTTAACTGAGTATTCTACCACAGAAACTGAGAGCTAGTATACTATTTCATATATCCCATACTTTGAAATACAGTAATAGTTCTGTATTTCACAATAAGAAGATCCTTTATCCTGTCACACGATAGATCCAGTTTTGAAATTTGTAATGATACAGGCAGGAGCTTCTTTGAATTAATACCTTTTGGCAGAAAAGCAAATTAGGGGATTACATTAGTACTTCCTTAGCATTTATTTCTTGCTGTTTGAAAAGTGCGTTACAAACGTGCATGTAGATAATAGCTTTTATTTCTTACTTTATTTTCAGATTAGTGAAATTGTAGGATGTGAAATCAGACCTGATGAAACTACCACTCTTAAAAACATACTGGATTTTGGACTCTCAAAATATATTGCTCAGTAAGAAGCTTACTCTGTTCTCTCTCTCTCTCTTTTTTTTTTTTTTTTAAAAAATCACTTTTTCTGAAGTTTATGCTTTTAGGAGTAGCAGAATATTTTGAAATACTAGCTAGCCTGCTCCATATAGTCTTGAAGACCATATTCCCCTTGCTTTTTTTTTTTTTTTAGACAATCACTGTATTTCAGATGTCAGATACCAAATATTAGTTTGCTTGGGGTTTTTTGTGTGCTGTTAGACCCTGCTGTAAAATCAGCTGTATTTTATCAAGCTATGTATGGAACTGTCAGTTGTTCTTGTAGCAAAAAGGCACCAAAAAAGAGTCATATTCCTAACCCACATAATTTGCACATTCAGGATTTTCTCTCTGTATTTATCTCCAAATTAATATTAATATCTCTAACTTGGTGATCCTGAAATTGCAAAAATAATCCCTGAAACAAGAGTCTATGGTATTATTAAGAAATCCATGTAAAAGGCAGCCTTATATGTGACTCTACCTGCAGCTGCTGTTTTTTTCACTCTTCAGCTATGTTGCAAAACATTTCAAAGCTACGTTTCCTTTCAATTTAGGCTGGAACCTATTGGAGCAGCTGCAAGTAAGGAGCATTCCTTAGAGAAATCAATAGAGAAAATGAAATCAGAGTGGGTCAACGTGCAGCTCGGTCTGGTGAAATACAGAGATACTGTGAGTAAACACCAAATCAATATATATATTGTTGAAAATAATTACTTTGATTCTGAGTATCAGTTGAGAAATATTAGAGGGAAGTTATTGCTGATTCATTGTGGCATGATGGAAAGTGGTATCATATCCCAGAGCATGGGCAAATGTCTCCATTACTATATATCCTTATATTTGGACCTGAGTATCTGGATAACTTGTGATCTCAACATATTAATCCTAACAGATCTGTACGCCTGAGATCTTCTGCAGTGTTGTATAGAAAGCTGGAGAGTAGTGCAATTTTAACTTACCCTGAAGAAAAAAGAAATCACACACGATCAAAAAAGTTTGAGTTTGAAGTCACTACCATCCCTGTCCAGCTTCCCATTCACAAACCAATCTGTGTCTTGACCTTTGAAACTGAGAAGTACAGGGATTATCTTCCAACACATCGCAGGCTTTCTCAATGCCTTGCTACTTTCTTACCTTCAACCATGACAGAGAAGGGGGAAATGGGAAGCTGAATGAGGGTGAGGTTGAAGAGAGTGAAATAAAGCAACTTCTATTTTCCTTATCAAAGTATGATGTATTTACAGGACATCAGCATCCTGTCAGCAATTGACGACATCCAGCTTTTGCTGGATGATCACATTGTTAAAACTCAGACAATGTGTGGCTCTCCCTTCATCAAACCAATAGAAGCTGAATGCCGGGTAAGGAAAAGCTGTTTTGATTGAGCTTGTGTGTCTCATAATCTGATTTCCCTAAGTGCTTTAAACTATTTTGGCATGATAGGAAGTGTTATAGTTTTGACTGTTTCTAAGAACACACATTCACATTTTTCTTCAAGAGTGTTCTTCAAGAGTTTCTTCAAGAAACTAATGATTTCCAGGCAAATGTATGCAAAGCTAAAGAAATTGTAAATTCTTTACAGCTGAAGAAATTGTAATTGCATTGCTAATGTAGTCGCTATAAGCAGGGGCTTTTAGCTGAATGTCTTGGGAATGGGTCAGTTGATTTAGACCAGTGCTGCTGCATTGTGTAAAAAGACACAGGTGTGTCAGTTATAAGAGATAATTTATTTTTTATCTTCTGATACTGGCATGATCCATAAGGGTTTCAGAGTCTTTTTTGTTAGCTGTCCTATTTTGTAAAGGTGATGAATTTCTAATAGGAAGATCATGCAGAACGTAGAGACTTCTTTCCCATCAGTATTTAATATCACTTTTTCTGGCCTAATAATGATGACTTGTAAGCAGTGCTAAGAGCTAAATTCTGTTAATTCCTGTGGACTTTAGCCAAATTGTAGGTAAAGCTGAGTTCTGCTCTCCAGTAGAGCTGGTGAAATTAAAGGGAGCGATTAATATAGAGCTATCTTAACAATCTCCATGTACTTTTTATAGCATAATGAACAATACAGGCTGACTGTGTTTTCTCCCTGCAATACATTCCCTTGCGTATCTTTTGCACTGCAGACTGTCAAAGTCACAAGAGTAATGCTGTCTGAAATTCTTTATTCAAAGAGAATCTCTCTCTGATTTTAAAACCAATTTGCACTGCTAGAATTGCATGAAATAGCTTTCTTGGGAGGCCAAAGATTGAATTCACTGTATGTAGGGCCTATGAACTGACATTTACTGTCTGCTGAATACCTTGTTAAGCTTTAATCATTTCATTGATGAGAAGATAGGCAGTACACAAGTAGAATTAAAAGAAGAGATTCTGGATTGCGATGCTAGTTATCTTTGCACTTCTTAGGCAGTTCTCTCACAAATTGCTGTAAAAAGTGCTAGTGAAAGAATACATCTCTTCTTTATAAGAAATATTCAGGTTTGTTGTTTTGTTGGGTTTTTTTTTTTGCTTTGAAGCCAAGGAAGTCATGTTCCTTGATTCCTCAGTGTAGATTAATTCTTAAAATTTTGCTTAAATAATAAATGTTTTCATTACAGGCTTGGGAAAATAAGCTGTGTTTAATACAAGATATTCTAGATAGCTGGTTAAAATGTCAGGCAACATGGTTGTATTTGGAACCAATTTTTAGTTCAGAAGATATTATAGCTCAAATGCCTGAAGAGGGCAGAAAGTTTGGGGTTGTGGATACATACTGGAAGGACATTATGGCACAAGTGGTAAGTGTTTGCATCTAAATCATGTATTTTTATGCACATCTAGTAACATGATTATTGCTATTGCGAAGATGCACTAGCTTTTCTGGAGTTAGAAATTTATATTTAAGTCACAAGAAGATACAATATGGAGTGAAAAATCCTCTACTAAAAGGATTTTAGTCTTGTACTAAAAGTGGTAAATTATGTCATTATTGCTTTGAGATTTCTCTAAAGGCTGGATATTGCAGGACGAATTAGAGCTTAGTTAACATTTTAATTCTAAATTTTCTGCCTTTTGTGTGGTTAAATGATCAGAATTAGGTAGAAAGATGAATGATTTGTGCTTTCAGAATCTGCTTCAGGGTTCACTGACAATCTGTATAAAGTCTTTTCTACATGCAATAAGGTTTTGCATTAGGCTTTTAAGGCATACATGGTATTTGAGCAACTAAATGGAATTTTTTTTGCATATGATTGTTCTCTGATATGTAGTGTCATGGTTATTCAAAACTTCAGTGAATACACACTGAGATGGTTGTGTGTCAGGATAAGATAATGGGGATAGTAAGTGCAATTGGGTATCCTGTTCAGTTCCCTGTAACTAAGAAGTTGGGTAAGAGGCCAGACACCTAGAGGTCATGTGAGCTGAGATGTTTGTCAGAAACATTGGGAGTGTGTGATTGTGTGATAAAGGTGTTGAAATAATCAGTATAACAAAATAGAAGTTGAGACCTGTCTAGCAGCTCAGATTCTGTGAATGATGGAGCCTCTTCGGAAATAGGTGTATCCTTTCAAGTTAAGAGGAGTGTTTTCAGAAACAAAAAAATGTGACCTAGATGGCAAGAACAGAGAATAATTGCATGTACTGTGGCTCTGTTTGACAGAACTTATTTGTGAATGGAAAAAAATGTAGCAAGCTCAAGACATAGGAGCAAGTACCAAAGATTTTAATTGCTGTGGATATTTCCTTGCTGTATTATTGTCTGTAAAGTTCAAAGTGGTAAAACTCACAGTCTGAAAATAAAAAGTATCAAATAATGCATACATATTTATTAACATGAAGGCACATTACAGAGAAGAATATATAGTTATTTAGCCTCCTGCAATATGTGTGACTGATGATAACAATTTTAATGTACAAACTTATTGCAACTTTTGCAGTTTCTGCTGTGTATTTGTTTTTACAAAGGTGAAAGACACAAAGGTACTTGTAGCAACTGAACAACCCATGATGTTAGACAGACTTCAGGAAGCAAATACTCTCTTAGAAGACATTCAAAAGGGGTTGAATACTTACTTGGAGAAGAAAAGATTATTTTTTCCAAGGTAAATTAATCAAACAGGCCTAAGTTAGAGACAAAAAGCTATAAACTCTTTCAAACCATTTCCCTGAGCTGAAAAGTCTCATTTTATAAACATGTCAGGGACAGTCCCATGCAACAAAAAATGAAAACCTGATCTTTTCTCCAGACATCATTAATTTTCCTCAGCTCCAGTTAAATTTGCGATGCCAGGGACAAGGCAGAGACAGGGAGGCTAAATCTGTCTGGCGGGGCATAAACTTACGATTAGCAAGACATTATCACTTAACTTACAGGGTAATTTTGAAGGAACTTGCTACATACCCATGGCTGATTTGCAGTTGTGTCTCTGCCCTACCCTCTTTAGTTGTGCAGAGGTGTGTGATTCACAGTAGTTCTATCTGATTATGAGGAATAGGATCCTGTGGTTTTACAAGGTACCTATCTGGTATTTCCCATAGAACTTGAGAACCCTTCTTTCTTCCTCTGCATAAAAGGATGATCATGTTGAAATTTTGAAAAAACAAGTGTGATGAGTTTTGTAACGTTAAAAATTGCTTAAGAATAGGGATGTGAGACAAAAATTTCCTCTCTGTTATACTAGTGTCCTAAGCAACAATAAAACCAATTCCATCTATCTTGCATTAATAGTTTATTAATGATCATTTTAATGATTGGAAAGTGCATGTTCATTAACTACATTTTTCTAACAGATTCTTTTTCCTGTCTAATGATGAGCTGCTTGAAATACTGTCTGAAACAAAGGATCCCCTTAGAGTACAACCACATTTAAAGAAGTGTTTTGAAGGAATTTCTAAACTGGAATTCACAGAAGATCTGGAGATTGTAGGCATGATCAGTTCAGAGAAAGAAATTGTTCCTTTCATAGAGAAAATCTACCCAGCGAATGCAAAAGTAATTTATTTTTTTTTTTAATTATATGAGGTTACATTAATGCTTTGCCTGCAGTGTATGTTTTTGGGGCAATGAAGTGTAAAACATTTAGGATCAGATCATGAAAGGTGTTCAGGAAGTGGTAGCGCAGAGTACTAGTAGGAGTAAGACATACCAATTTTGGGGTAAATTTCTCTAGGAACTTTTCTGCAGCTTTATGCACCTACTGCTTTTAAGCTATAGATAGATAGATACAAACCAAGCTCTGTATATACCTGTCTATGTAACATTGCACAGCATGGCTGAAACAAGAGAGGAATGAGGGAAATTATGCATGGCTGGAAGCGAAGAATCAGAGCATTAGTTCAAAAGGGATCTGAGCAGAAATATGAAAAGTGTCTCAGCTCCAGCTTTTTCTCTTATTCTCAATGTGAAAGTAGGGAGCTGAATTGCTGTGTGGTAGCCAAAAGGAGGTGAAAGGCAGGGCATGTTGTGAGCTACAGATACCCTTTTCCCCATAATCCTCCGGGGGCAAAACATGCCCTGGCTTAAAATGACTAAGCTTAACTGACCATGCAAGGTGTGATCTGCATTTTTTGTTTATGCTTATATGAAACGTATCCAGATGTTTCTTCAGCTGGATTGTCTTTAGAGTTAGCCTGATTTACCTGTCTTCAGACAGTATTAAACTGCACTATTACCTGTTAGAATTTTAAAAAGTTCTACTTTTCTTACTCCTGTATACCACACCCAGATTGGAAGAAAGCATATTCAAGCCTAATACATTCCAAATAATTTGTCCTTTAAGAATATAAACAGGAAATGTGTATTGACTCTTAAATGTTTTTTTCTTTTTGAAGGGCATGGTAGAAAAATGGCTTTTGCAAGTAGAGGAAATGATGCTGGCCAGTATAAGACAAGTTCTTCAAGATGGCTTAAAAGGCTATATCAAGGTAATTGTTCCTGAATTACAGTATAAAATAGATTTTATAAGCAACTGTACAGGAACAGTTTGCTGAAATTCTTAACCAGAGAAACATATTTGAAGCTAAGTGGAATCCAGCTTTCCTTGTTCAGTAGTCCCAGTCTGAAGTTTTAACTCTGAATTTCTTGAAGAAAATGTATCAAACTTTCCATGCTGATTCTTATTTATCTACAGCATGAGACAAAAGAAATCTGGGGAAGTAGGAGTACCATAATCTAATTTGTTTATATGACTTTATGTGTCTGGAATGGATCTTTATGTTTAAGGTTCCTCGAAAAACGTGGGTACTTCAGTGGCCTGGACAGGTGGTTATTTGCGTTTCATCCATTTACTGGACAGAAGAAGTGTCTGAGGCTATAAGGAAAGGAACTTTACCAGTAAGATTTTCTTCTATCTTTCTATTTCTAAGAACTAAACTCTGATTAATTAATAAAAAGCTCCCTCTAGCAAAGAAGATCCACAACATAGTACAATTTACTTATGTGGTGTGCTTTATTTTCTATTTTCTTTTTTCTTGTGTCTTAGCAGGGGCTTGCTCTCATTTACTTTGTGTATCAGGAGAAATCCCACTGAAGGAAATTGTATTACTGTTTTTTTTTAAAAGTGATACTGGTGTAAATAAAAGTACCAAGCAAAAAGTTGGTTTGGTTGTTAAACACTACGTATTTTTATTTCTAACTACTGCCTTTACATGTGAAGCCCCAGGGAAACGTGCAGGCAGAAATCTTGGCTTACAGAATAGTGCAGTTATTTGTCTGGTTATTGCTAGATTCTCCTGGTGATAAAGATGCAGCAGCCCAGTTTGTTCTTTCATACAAGATACTTTTCATATATGCTTGTAGTGCCTCTATCATCACAATGGTTTTAAGTATCACCTCATTAAGGCTAATGAAATGCATGCTCAAGTAATGAAAATAATTTTTTATTAATTCAGTGGGCTTTTGTCTGATCCTAATTGAGCGGGGTGGATGAGGATATATTGGGGAATAATGCTGTCAACAGTGTTTGAGCTGCTTTTAAAATGTGGTAATAGTAAAGTTTTAATAAACTTTACACCAAATACTGCATTTTAATATTGTTGATATTAGCTCTTTGCTTCTGCATCCTGAATATCTTACGTTTAACTTGCCTGTGTTGTTTCATACCAGTTGAAGATCTTACTCCACATATCCAGTCAGAACAGTCAGAACTGAGAATATTTATTGCTTTCAAAGAAGATATCCTGAACAATCCATAGGTTAAGAAAAATGAGAAGGAATCACAGAACAGTGAATCACAGAATATAAGGGACCTCTAGACATCATGTAGTCCAACCCCTGCTTAAAGAAGGGCCAACTAAACCAGGTTGCTAACAGACTTGCTCCTGTATGCCCGTGCCTATCTTCTATGGGGGAGCCCAGAACTGACACAACACTCCAGATGTAGTGTTAGCAGTGCTGACTGGAGGGGAAAGATCATCTCCCTTGACCTTCTGGTAATGTTCTTCCTCATGCAGCCAAGGATGCTCTTGCTTTTCTTTGCCTCAAGGGCACATTGATGGCTTACATTTGACTTGGTGTCCACCAGCATCCAGGTCCCGCACTGTAGAGCTGCTTTCTAGCTGGTTGGTCACCAGCATGTACTGGCACGTGGGGTTATTCTTTCATAGATACAGGAGTTTCCCCTTTGTTAAACTTCACAAGGTTCCTGTCTGCCTATTTCTCCAGACTGTTGAGGTCCCTCTGGCAGCACACCATGGAGCAGTCTAGAGACCATGTCTCCCAGTTTTGTATCATCTGCAGACTTGCTGAGGGTGCACTCCGTTCTGTTGTATAGGTCGTTAATAAAAACTTCATTAATCTTTCATTTCATTAAACTTTCTCATATAATAATAAGAAAATAATTTAAAATGTTCATAGTAAAGTTAGGAGAATCCTAGATTTCTAGTAACTTTATTAATTTACAAATTGCTACTAATTTACAGAAGAAATCTAATCTGAATTTACACAACAGATCTGCTCATCTCCTAGTGTAGAATTTTGTCATTTCTATTAGGAAGAAAAGCGAGTGGATGTCTGCTTACACTATTTTCAGGCCATAGAGCTTTTTGAAGTGTTCATAGTAAAATAAAATGCCATTATATGAAAGAGAATTTTAAATGTTTGTGTAGTGCCAGGATTTCCATTATTATGTTTTGTTGGAAGGGCTGTCTCGAATGACTGCACCCATAGAGTCTGGGAGCTGCTACAGCATTACGTTAAAACCCATGTTCTGTTTTTGTGACAGGATTTCTTGGAGAAGAGTAATCTACAAATTGGGGACATCGTTGAGTTAGTGAGAGGAAAGCTGTCCAGTGGAGCCCGGCTGACACTCGGAGCTCTTACTGTCATTGATGTGCACGGTAAATGTACAGTTGCTGGTGCTCTTGTTATAGCTGGGGCAGAGCCGCTGCCATTACTTGGCTGAACTATTTGAAAGAGGCAGCTAAAATGCTTTCTCTAACTGTAAACAACCTTTGCACAGAGTTATTGCAGTGTCTTTGGGCAAATGGTGATTGCTCAGTCCTGCACGCTGTCTCCCATTTTCTTAGAACAGACTATGGAATCTAGATCAAATTAAGCTCATTCCCTATGCAAAACAGATGCAGATTCCTTTCTAACATGAAAGCCAGCCTACTACTCTAAATGTTGATTTGCTCTTACATAGCTGTTAGTGTTAGTTTACTTATACATTGTTTTAAGTAAAATAATGTAGAAGTGTTCAGATTTTTCAAATAATCTACATTTTACTCTGCAGCTCGTGATGTGGTTGCAAAATTGGTTGAAGACAAAATCACTGATCTGAATGACTTCCAGTGGATTTCTCAGCTGAGATACTACTGGGAAGAGACAGATGTAATAGTGCGAATGATTACAACAGAAGCCAAATATGGTTATGAGTATCTGGGCAATTCTCTACGTCTGGTTATAACCCCACTAACAGATCGATGTTATAGGTAAAGCCATCTTGTCTATGAGGAACGTTTTCATTTTCTGAATTGATCTATATTTACTTTCATTTGTTATAGTTAATAATAACAGAAACCTCAGCAGCTAAGAATTTCCTGTAGGTTTTGGAGGAAAATCTTACATATCTTCTTTGCCCAAATATGGTAAAATATTTAAAACGTATAGGTTTCTAATCAGTAGAGTAATAGTCTCTGTTGTATGCAAGAATGTGCTTCTGAAAAAATCTGGCAGCTTGTGGTACTAAAACTATAAAGAGCTTTACAGTAGCACCGGTCAATTAATTTTTTTGAAATAAGACATGCAGGTAGGGTATGCCTGCCTGTAAAATAAATGAGGTAATTACAGAGCCCTTCACGGATGTTTGAATGCAGTTAGCTTCCTGTTCCTCTGCTTGCTTGCAAGAGGTGGAAATGGAAATACTTCATCCTCCAAGGTTGAAGTATTCAAGGACATTTGGTATTTCACTTCTGGTGAGCCCTGAAGGCACAGGTCATCTCAGCAGGTAATTTTAGGTTTAAGGTTTAAAGAGCTTTCTCTATAGTATCTCCAAGCAAATATATGGTGAGGCCATAAAGATCTTACTTCAACACCGAGCTGTGAACTCACATTGTGCAGAAGGCACTTGTAGTTAAGTGCCCATGTTAATGCCTATGCTGGCAAGTGCTTAATCTTCTGGCGTTCACAGTGGTGCTTTAAGAGCCACGCGGCTGACGCATTAGCTGTAAACTGGGATTTTTGTCATTAACATTAGCTCAATCTAAACTAAGACTATGCAGGAAGCTGTGCCAGGTGTAGTTTCAGTGCAAGCAATGAGCAAGAAGACTCTATTCAGCACAACTTAACAACTGCTTTTGGTGGCAAAGCCTTTGCATGAGGCTTTTGTAAAATAATCCACTGTTCACAGGGATCTCATTTTTAGTATGACAATCACTTGGAGAGCAATGTGATTCCCAGGTTTCTGAAACAACCTTTATGCTTTCTCAACCATTTCTAAAGATTGACTTTATAAACATTTATAAAGCCAGCTTCAAGTTCTTATCATACGAAGTGCCACATGATGAAAATATGTTTTGCGAACTCTGCCATTTTGCTTATGGCCCTGTGGATTTGACTGTCTAATTGAGGATACACAGGGTGGATGCACATAGTAAAAAGCCTTGACGTTCCTTGTAGGCCAAGTGCCTGTATGTGAGCATCCACAATTGGGAATCAGTTATGAGACTACTGTTTTTTCTAGGGCAAGCTACAAAGTCAGTAGGGAACAAGGAAAGTACTTATCCATCCCTTCAGAAACAGTCTGCCATTAAATATTACTATTTATAATGCCTGTAATCTTTTTTATGTAGGACATTAATGGGTGCCTTGAAATTAAATCTTGGTGGTGCTCCAGAAGGACCTGCTGGGACTGGCAAAACAGAAACAACAAAAGATCTAGCAAAAGCACTAGCTAAGCAGGTACCAAAACACAACTTTTTTTCTTTGTGTTGTTTATGTTTGGATGTGTAGCTATTTCTTGAAATGCCATTCTTAAGCAAGTATTGCTTGTTCTGTACCTGTTCTTTATTTACAGAAATAGTTGGTAAAAAGCACGCATTTAGGACTGTGCCTATATGGCATCTAGTGTTGTAATCTAAAATTAGCAATAATAATCCCTTTCCATTTTAGGTGCTAAGAATTTTATAGTGAACTTTGTGTTAATAGTAAGAGGTGTTCTCTGTGTGTTTTTGTTGTAGTGTGTGGTCTTTAATTGCTCTGATGGTCTCGATTACAAGGCAATGGGCAAGTTCTTTAAAGGGCTGGCACAATCTGGTGCATGGTCCTGCTTTGACGAGTTCAATAGAATTGAGGTAAGGTCTTAACTCAAGCAAATACAGTGATAAACCTTTAATTTAATACAGTGATAAACCTTTAATTTAAGACACAAGAAGTTTTATATCTAGACATGACAGCATTATTGCCAATTTTCTACTTTTATTTGTGGTGTAGCCTCTTTGTTTTGATAATCGCTGGCACAGAAATAGGTTCTCAGCTGCCTGCTGTAGGAGCACATGTCTACCTGTGCTGTGTTGCATAAGTCTTGGTTCTGGGTTATTATAACTGAAAAAAATGTTCCTGCACAGTTTCCTCTTTTGTATGTGACACTTATTTGTTGGGAAAGAACTGTCCTTATCTTCTTGAGAAATCAAGCTACAGCTGTGGGGCTGTGTTTATCTATGTCCAGCACAAGACAGATAAATCCCAGTGCAGGGGTTTCTGTGATGACTCGCTGAGTCTTGCTAACTGAGTGACCTGATTAATTATAGCTGTGTAACCAGACAAATCTAATCCCCTCCTTGGTCTTACTCTGATTTTTTTGGTTTTGTTTTTTTTTTTTAATTTGGTCACTATTGACTTTGTATAATTTTTATTGTTATTTTGATGGAGTTAGATTTAAGTAAATACTAATAAATGTGGAAATTCCATGAAGTTATATTTTGTATGTTTTAATATCCTTAACACCTTAATTTCTCCATTTGTCTGCTGTAACTTGTTTCTTTAATTAATTTATGTTTAGCATTTTCATCTTCCAATATTCTGTTAACTTGATACTTTAAAGCACTGAGGGTTGGTGCTAGGCTGCCTTTCCCATTTATACGTTTACCATCAATTTGTGGCATTGAGTGAATCAGTCTTTCTGAAGAGCCTAAATTCTTTACGTTGTCTGAGATGAAAGGAAAGTGCTTTTGGAGGCCTCCAGAGGGAGTTCCTGTCCACCTAACTTAGATGTCTACCTTCAGGCACATGGTATTTCCCTGTGGAGGCTTTTAGAGGCCTCTGTTCATGTCTACATTCGCTGAATAGGGAATGATGACACTAATTTTCAGAGGATTGCTTCAATAGGCAGATAATATTTAGGCTCAATTATCAGACACAGGGTGATTTTCACCTGGAGGAATGCAAATATTGCCATCAAAATATACAAACAAACCCATTTTATATTGCCTCTAAGTGTCTTGTTCTCCAATCTATTCTGTCTGTATTAGGTTGAAGTATTATCTGTAGTTGCCCAACAAATACTTAGCATCCAGCAAGCTATTATTCGCAAACTCAAAACATTCATCTTTGAAGGGACAGAGATCTCTCTCAATCCTTCATGTGCTGTGTTTATCACGATGAATCCTGGGTATGCTGGACGGGCAGAACTACCTGATAATCTGAAGGTAAATCTGGAATTCTCATTTCTTTAGAAATTAAACAGAATTTGCAGCTTCTGGTCTATTGTAATAAGAAAAGGAAGGCAGCAATCAAATATACTTGAATGCAGTCTGCTGTGCTTTTCACTGGGTTTTAATAAGTGTTTAGGATTTTACAAAATACACAAATGAAAGATCTCAGTCTAATTATACTGATACCAGTTCACAGCTTTAACTGTGCTCTCTCTAAGTGGAAATTCTCCTGATTTACAATGGCTTGGTGATCCAAATCCCAATTTAAATTTATCATAAATTTGCAAGTTGCTGAGACACTGCAGAGAGGCTGATATGGTCCTATTTTTTCTTCTAGCTTTAACACAATTTTTTGCATGACCTTTTACAAGACATTAATCACACTGTGAGCTAGTTTGTCTATTATGGAAGTGAAATGAATGATACCTCCCTTTTCCTCTATTAATAGTTCTTTAGGATCATGACTCTTTCAGAACTTTGTTCTTACAGTGTTTAGCACAGACCTCTTGATAAGGTCATAATATAATAGAATTCTAATGCAATCTCATAGATTTCAGATGATTCCTGAATTCTAGAAATTCATAAATTTATGGAGAGATGCTATTCTTACAGAACAGACACCAGTTAATACCATATTCCATAGTCTAAGCTTATATCTTACTTTTTTTCTTATAGGCACTGTTCCGAACAGTTGCCATGATGGTTCCAGATTATGCTTTGATTGGAGAAATTTCACTTTATTCAATGGGATTTCTGGACTCTCGGAGGTAAGACATATACTGAATTTTCCACCTCAGTTGAGTCTGATATACCTCATTCCTCTCTACAGCACATGTGTGTGTTTGAGGCATATAATTCTGGAAGGCTGTCAATGTTCCGTTTCTCCAGAAAGTACTTTTTAATCTCCTGCTTTATCATGAACCATCATCTTTATCATCAGTTCTCATGAACCATCTCATGTTGATGGATATGCACCTCTACACAGGATCATTTGAAAAATGGATCATAATATCAAACAGAATTCCTAGACGGCGCACACATTCTATGGCATGGCATAATCTACAGTTTTACTTCCTAGGTGTTTTGGATCATCTTGCCAGCTGATATGTCTGATATTCACTGCAGTTACTTTGTGTATATAAGTACTTAAATTATTTTTCTTGTACGTTGAGACATTTTCATTTTACATGTGATATTTTAATATCCACAGTCTTGCCCAGAAAATTGTTGCCACTTACCGTTTGTGCTCAGAGCAGCTGTCATCTCAGCATCACTATGATTATGGGATGCGTGCTGTTAAATCTGTCCTGACAGCAGCAGGAAACTTGAAATTGAAGTACCCAACTGAAAATGAAAGCGTATTGTTACTTCGGGCTTTGCTGGATGTTAACTTGGCCAAATTCTTGGCACAGGATGTGCCTTTGTTTCAGGTAGGCTATGAGGCCTCTGCGTTTAAGTTTTGTGATGATGAGGTCCGTTAAAAGAACCTACAAAAGCAGGTCATTATCTTAATTTTGAACAATTTGATCCAGATGCTGCCATATTAATGTAGAGTTATTTCAGTCCAATGATCTTGATGCGCTCTTTGGCTCTGTTAGGATTATTTTGAAAAACAAACTTTCAGGGGTGTCTTTTAAGTTATTCTATAAAATGTTTATAAGATATCTTGCTAAAAGCACTTTGTTCTGTTTCATTCATGGAAACCATTCTTTGAGGTTTGCATTCTGGCTTTTTGCTGCAGAAGAGATATGGACAACTAAATTAAGGTCAATTAGAAATTTGAAGGCAGAATGAAAATGATGAAGTTTCTGTTTGCATGCTGCTTGAATAGAAAATTAAGGCTAGGCTTCTAGTTTGCATAGAAGTTCATTTTGTCCAGCTGAGGACATTTCCTTTTAAGGTCCTGTTATCTGTATGAATATTGTTTTACTTGTTGATTATTTTTTTTAATGCTTTGGGAATTTTCCCTTTTTGTAATCTTGTCCTGGTTTGCCCAAACCGTGACAAATCAGTGTTTAAGTAGCCTTCTATTCTTTTTCCTTAAAAGGGCATCATATCTGACCTGTTTCCTGGAGTGGTTCTTCCTACACCCGACTATGACCTGTTTGTCAAGGCACTAACTGAAAATATAAACAAAATGGATCTTCAGCCAGTTCCCTGGTTCATTGGAAAAATTATTCAGGTTTATTTTAATATAATTCTGGGGAAGAAAAGTGTGACAGCAGAAACATTCTTGATTCACTGTCATGATTTAATAGCTAATGTGTCATGAATTAATAGCTAATAGTTTTCATGATCAATTAATAGAATATTACAGAGAGCGTATTTTAACTGAGAAAAAATCATGGGAGTAAGGGGAGGATGTCTAGGGGGCAATGACTTAAAATTTTATCAGTGAGAATAGCCATAATAATATGACTGCCTTCTGATTTGGGTTAGTGTTCCAGTTAGCCTTAGTAGAGTGCAGATATTTGGCTGATATTTTGTCCTGTTGCGTCTGAGCACAGGAGAGTTACCTCTAGTTCCATACACATAACACTTGCTTTTGTGCTTTGTTAGAGTCACTCTCTTGTCACTGATACAGATATATGAAATGATGCTGGTGCGCCATGGTTTCATGATTGTTGGAGATCCTTTGAGTGGGAAGACCTGTGCATACAAAGTGCTCGCTGGAGCCCTTGGTGATCTGTACGCAGGTAACATTGTTCTGCCACAACCTTCACATTAAATGAAGTTAATTCTATGAGTAATGTTTTCCCTTTGCAGAGATATGCCCAGACTGTTAATTGTCCTATATTTTGCTTTTTCAACTGGGAAGTTCCTATTCATTGAACTCTTTTTGTCTGGTATATTTGTCTGGAAGTATTTTTATCTGCATTTACTGGAATAGTAAAACATACTAGCATGTTTATGCTTTTGTGAATTTTATTAAGCATTGTATTTGTGCATAGTACTCTTGAAAAAACTAGCTCTGATATGGTAGGTACTTACAATTTCCCTAAACATATAAAACCTTTTCTGCTGTGCATTTTCTTTTTCTTTTCATGTGCTTTTGCACATAGGAATTTGCACTTTCCTTGTACAAATATTGGAATTTTTTATTTACTGCTGCCTAGCTGCCAAATGTGGGTTTTTTTTTTTGCTTTGGACAGCTAAAGTAGAATCTGCAGGTATCTTCTTGTTCTGTACTTAAGTTGTTGAATGAAACTAACCTATCAAATTCTCAAGCTCATCTATTTGTCTTTTTACACAGCAAAATCCATGGATGAATTTGCTGTTGAATACAAGGTTATTAATCCCAAAGCAATCACTATGGGGCAGTTGTATGGCTGTTTTGATCCTGTAAGCCATGAGTGGACAGATGGAGTTCTTGCAAATGCCTTCAGGGAACAAGCATCTTCTGCCACAGACGATCGGAAATGGATTATTTTTGATGGCCCAGTGGATGCAGTTTGGATAGAGAACATGAACACTGTGCTGGATGATAATAAGAAGGTAGCCTATTTTTTGCCAATAAGGTCATCCTTCAAAATGCGCACTTTATTTTAGTAGTAGCGATATTGTTACCGTGTTAGTCAAAGGAGGTGTGAGACTCAGGAAAGGCTGACATGCTGAAAAGCATTGCTTTTTTCCCCCATTATATGAGTGGGTTTATTAGATGATGTTACTTCTCCCTAAAAGCCTTGGTTTGATGGCCATCAAACCTCTCACTGCGGCTTTTGTATTGACCCTTTTAGGAAACTGAAATACATAAACTCAGTTCTGTAACTGAAAGCTGAACTTGCTTAGATTACTTAAAAAGTAAATTAATTTCAAAAAGGCTGCAGGTCATAACTGCTTTTCCTTGCAGAGTTATGTAAAGATAGAGCATTGTTCTCTGTGTCTCTGCAAGTCATTGCAGCAATACATGGAAAAGTTGAGACAAGGTCAGAAAATATCATTTATTGTGAGAATACTAATGAGTGAATGAGGAGTGACACTAAGGAGAATGTTCAGTGATTTTATGACATGCATTGCTTTGACTGAATGATCAGTACTGACATGACTAGATCATGTTTACATGATGCTCTTCTTCTAGCTATGCTTAATGAGTGGTGAAATAATTCAGATGAATTCAAAAATGAGTTTAATTTTTGAGCCGGCAGACTTAGAAGAGGCATCTCCAGCAACTGTCAGCAGGTAATGTGAAAGCATTAAAACTTGAACTGTCCCCCCTTGCACATCTATTTCTGTACCACAGTCGGTTTTTCTTCCCAGGTGTGGTATGATCTATATGGACTCACAACAGTTAGGCTGGAAGGCACTGAAGGATTCCTACATGAATACACTGCCTCCAAACCTGCAGGAAGAACACCGAGAGCTGGTGCGAGACTTAATTTTTTACATAGGTCTAATTTAGAAGATTAATTTTAAGGTGATGTTCACAGTTTGCTCACTTGAAGGCAGTCAAGCAGAGTCAAAACTTTTTGAAGTACTGTCATGATTTAGAGGGTCCCAGATCTCTTAGAGGCTGTTTGAAATTATTTTGTAGTGATGCATGTCAAATGTTGCAAGGAAAGTACCTGAGAGCTGGAGATGCCATGAGTATTAGAAATGCAATGTGATAAAAACTGGAAGACTCAAAATGTTTTGAATGCATCCTTCTGTCTCAGACAACTAGAGTTCAGCTTGAGGCTTGTGGCACTCCACAGGTACTAGCCAGTTCCAGCTTTCTGGAATTTCTGCTGTGGCACAGGATCTGTGCTGGCCCTCAGCAGGGGCTTGTCGTTTCTAAGAGAGGATGAAGCCCTTATCTTTGTTTCTGTTGGAATGATGCTGTTATTACCCAAGCAAAGCAGCAGTCCCACAAGGCTGAGCTACTGCTCTGCTGTCTGGATTAGTAACTGGGTAACAAATTCCTGCTGTTAACTTCTCAGTGATAGAAACAACTTCTTTTTGCCATGAGATAGTGATGGCGTGACTTTGTGATTGCTTATGTACTGCCTCACACAGGCCCTGTCCTGATCTTCCCTCTGCCAACTTGGAGAATTTCTGATGCCTTATGTTTTATTGAGAGAGAATTGAGGGCCAGTGGGAAATGTGGCAACTTCTGCATTGTTTTAAAGCCATTTCATTTTCTTCGCATAGGTCAATGACTTGTTTATGTGGCTAGTCCAGCCCTGTTTAGAGTTTATTCAACTTCATTGCAAAGCTATTGTACAAACGTCCTCTAGTCATCTGAGTTATAGCTTGATGAAACTTTATACTTGTCTGCTTGGTAAGTACCCTAAGCCTTATTCTTTTTATTTCAATTTTTATATTTTTTTCCTGCTGTGTCCCATGACAAAGGTGCAGGTTATCAGACACAAGGAAATACCAAAGGAATTCTTTACTGTTAGGATTATATAATAGAAGTCCTTTCTTCTCACTGATCAGTATTAATAATAATTCTTTAGCATTTCACATTTAGACACTGGTATCATTACAAAATTGAAACATGATCTTGTGAGCGTATTCCATATTTTTTGCTTGCTGTTTGCTAGCATCAGAAGAAAAGAATTAGGACCCTTTGTAAATATTTTTTTCTTCTCATTTATTTTTATTTATAAACAGTACCTTACACAGATGAGATCCTCACTCTGTAGATTGGCTTTGTTCCACTGAAGACAATGCTCTAAGTTTATCTCAGAATACTTTTGCAGAAAAGGCATTTTGAATTGGGATTTATGATTATTACCAGCATTTAACTAAAATTCACTAAAATATGTGTTTTAGATGAAATAAAGCAATCCGAGGAAGAAGAGAAGGAAAGCATGTCTAGTCAGCATATCACCTTGTGGCTGCAGGGCCTTTTCCTTTTTGCTTTGGTTTGGACAGTCGGTGGGATCATCGATGCAGACAGCAGAAAGAAATTTGATTTGTTTTACCGCAACTTGTTACTGGGAGTAAATGATGAAAACCCACGCCCTAAAAGTGTGAAGCTTACCAGAAACAATATCTTCCCAGAAAAAGGTGCTTCTTTATAACTGTACTTGCCTGGCCTTTTATAAAGCAGTAAGATCTCAGCACTTTAAGGGAGAATAGAGTGCCTGGCAGATAATAAGTTTGTAGGAAAGCCACCATCTGCCAAGCCTTGGGCTGCACGGTTGGGTGCTCTTTCCTGGCTCTTTTAACCAGGAGTAGCATATGCCTCATGTACTCAAACCATGTAGCTGAATCTAACCTAAAATAATTTGGTGATGGTAATGGTGGGGGGGGGGAAAGGGCATCTCATGTACTAGAAAGGCTTTATTATCTTACAGTGTTGGACAACTCACTAAAATGATTGAAGTTTATTTTTATTATTTAATCAGTGTGTTTTCCTGTGTTGTGTTTTTCAATTAACAGGGAGTGTTTATGACTTCTATTTTCACAAGCATGGTAGTGGGCAGTGGAATGTGTGGATGGAGTACATCACAAAAGAAGAGCAAGTTATCTCCCCAGGGGCTAAGGTCCACATTGATATCTTTCATTATAGAATATAATTCCTTGACTAAATGATTCAGCAGTATAAATCAACTACCTTAGCTAGCTCCGATTCTACTATATTAGGCCGTTTACTGTTTGATCTCCAACTTATCATTAATCTCTGTAGGTTCCTTTTCATGCTTATGTCTTAATTCTGGTACAATTAATATTGAAAGTCCAGCACTGCAGGTGAATATGGAGCCCTGAGGTTGGCTGCTGGTTAAAATTTTTGGTTCTGCTTTAATCTCTGTAATAGCATCTGATGTTGGGGAAATCATGGTGGGGAAAGGCCAAAGCCTAAATTTCTGTTCCTTGATTTTTGTTTTCTGGGGTTGATACCATGATATTACAGTATGAGTTAATCACAAAGAGCAAGTAAAGAGACTTACTACTTCTTTGGGTTATGGAGATCAGTACTGAGAGTCCTGGATCCCCTCCATTTCCAAACAGGGGCACTCATATTTGATGGCAGCTGTGAACTCAAGGGAGGTTTAGCACAGCAGAGATCTGCAAAAAGTACCTATTCTGGAAATGAAATTTCAAGATACCTTAAGCAATATTTGTTCAGCTTTTCATTCCATTCTAGTTGCAACTGTCTTGTCTGTTAAGTACATGAGAGATGTAAGATTGCGTTTCATTCTGCTGTGTAAAATCTTGACATCTAGTGCGCAGTCACTAATGATAGGTGGAAGATGAGGAAGAGAAAAAAAATCCATAGCAGAATTCCTTTCCCTTTGTACAGTTGGGGAACAGAATTAAGCCATAGTTAACTCTGCAGATCTCCCTCCAGGCTTTATATAGTGTCTATGAACCAAAATACAGATAATGCTAGTTGCGCTATTTACTGTATAAATACTGAAAAAGAAATGGGGTCATACTATCTAGCAGAATCTTGTTATAGCCTGAGTTTTCAGAGAAAAGAATTTTTTAAAAATGCATTTATGCTACAGGCTTCCTGTAGTGGCTTGCAAATATTCATGTTGATTAAGGCATTAAGATTTTTGACTTCAGTTTTTCATTTACTTTCCTGTGTGACAGGTATCTGAGCTGATCATTCCAACAATGGAAACAGCCAGACAAATGTTTTTTCTTAAAACATACGTGGAGCATAATGTCCCTTTGCTTTTTGTGGGTCCCACTGGCACTGGAAAATCAGCTATAACAAACAATTTTCTATTACAACTTCCAAAGCAAAAATATATCCCAAGCTTCATCAACTTCTCTGCAAGAACCTCTGCCAGCCAAACCCAGGATATTATTATGTCCAAGCTGGACAAAAGAAGAAAGGGATTATTTGGACCTCCTTCGGGGAAAAAAGCTATTATGTTTGTGGGTAAGGCAGAGTTTTTATATCAATTTAATTTTGGCTTTAGGCAAAGGAAGTGATTAACTGAGGATAGTAATTTTGGCTTGCCCCAGTTCTCTGGCTTTTTTCAGGCATCCAAAGAAGGATTAGCACTGCCCCCTGCTGAAAAGTTTCGAACTGTTTAGGTGTTGGTTGTCTTCAGAATAGTTCATAGTGTTGTCTCATGACACGAAATAGAATAAAATAAAATCACCAACCACCCCTAAATATGCCTGTGAAGTGTAAGGCCATTTGATTTTAGTTAGTTTAATGGGAAGGAAGAATAACAAGACACAACCTTTTTCTACTTCAGTTATTTTTATTTCTTAGCTTTGAAAGACAATGATAATTCTTAAACACTGAGGTTTTTGTTTTGTTTTTGCCTATGCTCTCCACAGATGACCTAAACATGCCTGCAAAGGAAGTGTATGGAGCCCAGCCACCTATTGAGCTTCTCAGACAATGGATTGATCATGGTCACTGGTATGACCAGAAAAATAAATCCAAGATTGATATCATAGACGTGCTGCTTGTTTCAGCTATGGGTCCACCTGGGGGAGGCAGGAATGATATTACAGGTAGGAAATATATTACTATGGCAAGAAGTTATCTAATTGACTGAAGTTAAGAGGCAGGTTCAGTTTTGTCGATGACAAATTCTACATTTCTTGGATCACTTGTAAAACTACAAATACCTTCAACTGGGCTGGGTCATTCCAAATAGAAGTCTGCATGCTCAAGGTCAAATCTGTACCTGTTCCAAGGAGAGTTTAATCAACATTAGAAACAATGTTCTGAATGTTGATTAAACTGTAAATGATGAAAATATTTTTAAAATTAGAGAATGGGACACTTTTTCCATTTTCTATTTTTTGGAAAAGAGAGGGAATGCATCTTCTTGCCAAGTCTTTCTGGCACTTCTCTTCTGAAATTGTATCTCCTGCTGCTAAGATAGGTTGCCTGCATTTACTTACAAGCATGTTGCCTCCAAGTCCATGATTCCTGTCATATCAAGTGAGGTTATATTTTCTAATGAAAAAGTTATGTCAGTAAAAGCTCTAATGTAGCTACAGCTACACTGTTATAAGGCACTTTATGCTACTTTGCCTCATTTAAACACTCCAATACAGGTATAAATGTATATGCTCTGAGGAGGCTTTATTAAAATAATTACTCTGATACAGCTAAATTTGTAAAATCTACTAGTGTATAGACTGATTTTTTTGAGATGAAAGCCGATAACAAGATACTTGATTTTGTAAAGTTTTACTCTATCATATCACAATCAACAGGGTTAATGTGAGCTGAAATTTAAATTTGGGTAGTAGTGGACTTGTAGTGGAGATTCATGTTTTTCATATTAAAAACAGTTCCTCTAAGTGAAATACTGATATAAAATATAAACCAGTTTATATTTCTTTTGCATCACTACTGGGGCAGAAATTTGCCAGAAACAAAATCATGGAGCTGGAGCCAGATTCAAATATTGGTTTTTAGTGGCAATCAGTCCTAGAATACGCTAGCTGAAAGGTGGAAAAATGTTTGGACATTCCTAAATCTTTCGGTATCTTTTTGTGTGTATTACAGGACGCTTCACACGACACTTGAATATTGTATCTATCTGTTCTTTTGATGATGACATATTAACTAAGATTTTTACTGCAGTTGCTGACTGGCATTTCAGCAAAGGCTTTGAGCCTATGTTTCTAAGGTAATGCGATGTATTTCCTGTTATGCCTTTGTCATCTTTTCTCCTGGGATTCATCTGCACAAATTAAAATTTTATCTCTTTTCCTTCTTAAGGCTGGGTAAGATGATGGTCCAAGCGACAATGGTGATGTATAAAATGGCAGTTGGTAATTTTCTCCCAACTCCTTCAAAATCCCACTATGTTTTTAATCTACGGGATTTTTCCAGGGTTATTAAAGGAGTGCTGCTCTGTCCACACACTCATTTGCAAGTAAGTTGTAGTTTAATTATGTTGCTGTAAGAAAGAGCAATGGAAAAAAGTTAATTATTTTTATAATATCAGTAAGTAAACATCTCAAAATATATGAACTATGATTTCAATAGATTTGCAAGGTTTAAAATCAGATGGTCCCTGAATACCTTGTTAGATATTTTCTCTGTCTTTGAAGGAGTCAGCTGTCATTTTTGTTAATATTTTTTATACGTATTATAGTTGGCCCCCAAGGCCCATCCGTTAAGGCCTGTACATCAAGTCAGACAGCCCCTTCTCTTGAACTTGCAAACTTAATATACAAAAGAAACAAACATGGGAAAAGACTCAGTATCTCTTTTTCACAAATTGTAAACTCATCAGCGAGCAGGACTGAATAATTTAGCCCTGAGTTTGCCTGTTGTCACAAACTACAAATAAATACTGATAGGTGTATATAATTTTAATCCTTCTACTTTTTTCATCCCTTTTCAGTACAATGTCAGATTAAAGGAGCATTAAAAGTTTTATTTCTGCTGGGGGGTATGGTTTTGGTGCAGAAACAGAACAAAACAGCTACAAGCTATTTACAGGAAATCTTACCAGGCAACACTTTTGAGGAGGGCTTGGGTTAGAGCCCATGAGCCATATCTTTGAAAGATTTATTCTTTACTTTATGTTGGAAGGGTGGATGGGTTTGATACAGTAGAGAAAAATACTTTGACATAAGAGTCCCAGTTTGTATTGGCAGGAAGGATGAGACAGTAACTAGGTGAGGAAGACCGTTAAGTTAGCAGATGCTGAACCATGTGCTGAATGGCTTGGAATTGAAAGATTCCCACTGAGTTTAGTACAAGATATAGCAGGGTCCAGATGGACATTTCTATCCTTTTGTTTTTAGAGAAATCCTGCCTGAGCTATATTTACCTGTTTTCTTGTATTTACATTTTTCAGGATGGAGATAAACTGATCAGACTTTGGATTCATGAGGTATACCGAGTTTTCTATGATCGCTTAGTTGATGAGGAGGACAGGAAGCTGTTCTTTCAGATGGTACAAGAGACAACATCAAATGCCTTCAAGCAGAGCTTTGATAAGGTATTTTCTGGTAATGAGCTGGGACCAAGAATGAGACTGATGCGTTTTCAGAAATACTTAGTCATTGAGATTACATTAGTATTGGACATATTTTTAATTATTTTGATCAGTGTATTTAAAAAGTATGGATGGTCTTCTATTCAGTATTACTTTACATATTCTTAGTCAAGGTAATACTAACTAGTTCATATCAGAATGATTCATAACTTCAAAAGGATTCTGCGTTGGTACAGAGGGCTATCTGGAATAAATGTCTTACACAATATTTATCTGTGCTTTTCCTTAAATTAATATTTGGATGAACCAATGGCAGCAGTGGGTACTTTTCTGAGAAGCCTTTTGGGAACTGCTACTATATTTGACACCAAAATCTCTCGTGAAGTATGCATATATAGAAACTTGTATGTCAACCTACAGCATGTTCCCCACGTAGGTGTTTTTTCTGGTTTTTTGGTTGTTTTTTTTTTTGTCCAAACTAAGGTAATAACTGGCTATAGCTGGAAAACAGTGCTTCCTACAATGTAGATAAGAATGATTATGACTTTAAGGAAAATAATTTCCTAGTAGTTTGAATTATCTGTTGATTCTTGTTCTTTCCGTAGGTACTGAGTCATCTCTCGCCTACTGGAGAAATCTCTGATGATGATATTCGCAGCCTGTTCTTTGGAGACTATTTGAACCCGGACAGTAATGTAAAAGTCTATGATGAAATCACAGACTTAAAGCAACTGACAACTGTGATGGAATACTACCTTGAGGAATACAACAACATCAGCAAAGCACCGATGTCCTTAGTCATGTTCAAGTTTGCTATTGAGCATATCTCAAGGATATGCAGGGTATTGAAACAGGATAACGGACATCTGTTGTTAGTAGGGGTTGGCGGGAGTGGTCGACAAAGTGCTACCAAGCTGGCCACCTACATGAACAGCTTTGAACTCTTTCAAATTGAAATTACGAAGTCATATGGCACCCATGAATGGAAAGATGATGTAAAACGAGTCATGCTGAAAGCAGGTGTTGGTAACAATAATGTGTCCTTTTTGTTCTGTGATAATCAAATAAAGGATGAAGCATTTGTAGAAGATATCAACATGCTTTTAAATACCGGTGATGTGCCTAATATCTTTGCAACAGATGAGAAAGCTGAAATTGTTGAGAAAATGCAAGGTGCAGCAAGGTTGGAGAACAGGAAAATTGAAGCCACTCCCCTTGCTATGTACAATTTCTTTATTGAAAGGGTGAAGAAAAATTTGCATATTGTGTTAGGTCTGTATACAGTGTCTTATTTCTTAGAATGTTTTTTCTTAGGCTTAGTTTATTCTGCTTCCTAACTGCAAACAAACTTAGGTAACAATTGTGAATTTTACTTTATTTTTCTAGCCATGAGTCCTATTGGAGATGCATTTCGGAATCGATTGCGGATGTTCCCTTCACTGATAAACTGCTGCACCATTGACTGGTTCCAAAGCTGGCCCACAGATGCTTTAGAAATGGTTGCTAACAAGTTTTTAGAGGATGTTGAACTCGAAGATGACATTAGAAAAGAGTATGAGTTTATTTGTCAAGAAATATATGAAGTTAATGTTTGTTCCCTTCCCACTCACACCCCCAACATACTTGATCAGGAAACTGTCCTTATAAATGGACAAAGCTAAGCCAACTCTGGGATTTCAGTGCAAGTCAAAGATACCTAGATATATGTATCTGATGTTTCTGCAAATCAGGCCACTCTTTGAAAGGAGTCTAAAATATTTGTTATAACAGGCAAAAAAACAATTCTGCCTACACTAACACTAATATAATTTCATAAGCTTAGAGGTATTTCCTCATAATTAACATAAAGACAGATAGTATTTTCATAGTAATGTGGAAAAATTTTCTCTAGGGTTGTGTCCATGTGCAAATATTTCCAAGAAAGTGTGAGAGAGCTCTCCATCAGCTATTACGCTGTACTGCGAAGACACAACTATGTGACACCAACTTCATACCTCGAAATGATTCTTACCTTCAAGACTCTGCTGAATAGCAAAAGGCAAGAGGTTGACATGATGAGAGCTCGTTATCTCACAGGACTTCAAAAACTTGAATTTGCATCTTCACAAGTAAGTTTCAGATGAAAACACTGAATACGTGCCATCCAATTTGCAGCTGTTGATGTCACTAATTCTGTGTTTCCTTCCAAGTTTCTTTTGGATTTTTTTTTCCACCTGTGTAATAAAGGATTACTTAAGGTTCCATCAACTGAAACTGACTGTGAGGAAAAAAATACAATTAATCAATTTATATCTCATTATTGAAATGGATCATAAAAAAGCAAGTGTGTTGCATGAATGATTAAAAAAAATGTTCTTAAAAAATCTATTCAGTTAAATAAAACAGCTCTTGATAAAAATAGGCAATAGAGAACTATTTTAATACTTATTTAGATCAAATGTCCCTATTTAGATTGTATTAATGTAGTGTTTTCTGATCTTTCTTTCTAAGACATTAAGATGTGAAATGCATACAATGTTCACAGAAATTTTTTCTTGATTTTCCCATTACATTCATCAGGTTGCAGAGATGCAGAAAGAACTGACTGACCTTCAGCCTGAATTAATTCAAACTTCTGCAGAAACAGAAAAAATGATGATCAAGATTGAAAAGGAAACAGTTGAAGTAGATGCAAAGAAGGAACTAGTGTCGGCAGATGAAAAAGAGGCCAATGAAGCAGCAGCTGTTGCTAAAGCTATTAAGGTAGAGTACAAGGGCTTGAGCCCGGAGCATGATGGGTTCAACGTCTTTCCAAGTAAATGGGAATTGTGATGGTGTTAATGGTATAAAAGTACCAAAATGGCAAGAGATGATGAATGAGATGTTCCTAATGCAAACAAAGTAAATTTTGGCTGTTTGGAGTATGACTGTATCTCACAGTAGTGCATAGCTTCCCTTTCTAGTTCACATCCCAAAAGCTGTGTAGCTCTTATTTCTGTACTAATACATTGTCCTTCTCAACAGATAGAGGTTATACTGTTTCCAGGCCCAAAGACAGTTCATTTAGAGTTAGGTAATCTGGTTTAGTGTTCCATGGAGCCTCATTAGGCATAACCTAGGAGATACTGCCATAGCCAGACATCTGTAGCACAGCATTTCCCATGGAAAGCTGCAGGATTCCTCAAGTTGTTTTTTTGTTGTTGGAAAAATTAGTAATAGATAAGATAGATAGATAGATAGATAGATAGATAGATAGATCTAAATACATGATAAAGAACTTAAGCTACACAGTATATATTTTTACCTGATCAGTACTGTAAGATTTAACTAAGAACAACTGTACCTAACCTGCATTTTAATTCTCCTTGTCAAACCAGAGAATCTTTGATCTTGAAAGCTTGTCTGGCTTTTTCAGCTCTTGGTTCGGCTTATGGAAGTTGTGAATTTCTCTGCAAACCTTCCCTCTTTAAACTGCTCGGACAAATGGTGGAACTAGTTTTCTCTAAAAGAAACAAAATGTTATGAACAGTCTTTTTATTAGGTACTTATAAGCAGAGAAGGTTCTCTGAGGCTGTGGTGGAGTGGGGAAATGAGATTGCAGACCTGCTATTTTATGACGGTTTACAGGCTTCTACGCAATGTCTTAACAGGATGAGTGTGAAGGAGACCTTGCTGAGGCCATGCCAGCTTTGGAGGCAGCACTTGCAGCTCTTGATACCCTGAATCCTTCAGACATCTCTCTTGTGAAATCCATGCAGAATCCACCTGGTCCTGTGAAGCTCGTCATGGAGAGTATCTGTGTCATGAAGGGAACTAAACCAGAGAGGAAGCCTGATCCAAGTGGCAGTGGTAATGATGCGGTGTTTGTTGTCCCTGCCCTAGGAATGCTTGGGGTACTGCTGTGTTTTACTAGTGAAGTGCTTCTGGCATGAGTGCAGCCATGTGCACTGAAAGTGCATTTTGCTATCAGTGACATATAACTACACTGAATAGCTAAGAGTTGCTTTTGGCATTGTCACATATTGCACTGTTGTACAAGCTTTGTAAACATGATCCCAATCACCAGCATAAAGTCACCTCTTCAACTTGCTTTGACCCAATTTTGGGAATTGCATTGCCTTGAGGAACTCCGGGAGCTGGAGGTGTGCTGTGCACCATTCGCCTGTATTTTCAGTCTAAGCCCTGCTGCCAAACTCTTTTACTTATGCTGGGAGACAGAACTCTAGTTATATCCCTGCTATAGGTGATTACTCTAACAAGCTCTTTCTGTTTGGATTATGTTGTTGTGGGATTGCACAGGATTTGTGAGGTAGTAAAGGAAAGAGGCCCTTTTCTTTCAGTTTTCTTCTATCCTATGCCCCCACAGTTCAACTCTTCATAGTTGAAAATAAGAATTCTTTAAATGTCTTTCATCCAAAGCTGTTACGTAGATTAGGAAGCAATGCTTTCACATACTTACTGTTTTATTTAATAAATTATGCTAAGAAAGACTGTATAGTAATTTGTTTCCCTTATTGTGCTTGGTTGATTTAGAATGAATATGTAATTAATAAATATGACATAGATTAGTGATGCTGAAATTCCTGTCTGAATTTTGTTAGGTAATGACTTTCTTAATTAGTTAATAGTGGTTGCATAGTAAAATTCTGTTGCAAAATAATTGACGTTAATTCTTCATATTATGTTTCAAGTATATTTTCAGTTTGAACATGCATGTTTTAAGCCTGATTTTAGTGTTATTTGCAATATAGGTAAAATGATAGAAGACTACTGGGGATCATCCAGAAAAATTCTTGGAGATCTGAAATTTCTTGAGAGCTTAAAGACGTATGACAAGGATAACATTCCTCCTGCTATAATGAAGAAAATTAGAGAGAAGTTTATTGATCATCCCGATTTTCAGCCGGCTGTCATAAAAAATGTCTCATCTGCCTGTGAAGGACTATGCAAGTGGGTGCGAGCCATGGAGGTGTATGACCGTGTTGCAAAAGTGGTTGCCCCAAAGCGTGAACGATTGAGAGACGCAGAAGGATTACTGGAAGTTCAAATGCAGAAACTAAAAACAAAACAAGCAGAACTCAAGGAGGTAGTTGATCGCCTCCAGGCTTTGAATGATGAGTTTGACAACATGAATGACCGGAAGAGAGAATTAGAAAATAATATTGCACTCTGTTCACAAAAGCTTGTGAGAGCTGAACAGCTCATTAGTGGTCTTGGTGGAGAGAAAGATAGGTGGACGGAAGCTGCACGATTATTAGGAATCCGGTACATAGACCTAATAGGAGATGTGTTGTTATCATCAGGAACTGTGGCTTATTTGGGAGCCTTTACTGTAGATTATCGCCTAAAATGTCAAAAGCAATGGCAGGTCCTCTGCAATGAAAAGAACATACCATGCTCCAGTGATTTTAGCTTAAGTAATACATTAGGGGACCCAGTCAAAATCCGTGCGTGGCAGATTGCTGGATTGCCAATTGATTCTTTTTCCATTGACAATGGCATAATTGTTTCTAACTCAAGAAGATGGGCTTTAATGATAGATCCTCAAAGGCAAGCTAACAAGTGGGTAAAAAATATGGAGAAAAATAACAAGCTGTCAGTTATCAAATTATCTGACACACATTATGTGAGGACATTAGAAAATTCTATTCAGCTTGGAACACCAGTCTTGCTAGAAAATATTGGTGAAGAACTAGACGCTTTCATAGAACCCATTTTGTTGAAGTTAACATTCAAACAACAAGGAGTAGAATACATGAAATTAGGGGAAAATGTAATTGAATATTCAAAAGATTTCAGGCTTTACATGACAACCCGCTTAAGAAATCCTCATTATCTTCCTGAAGTGGCTGTGAAAGTTTGTCTACTCAACTTCATGATTACGCCTTTGGGTCTTCAGGACCAACTGCTTGGAATTGTAGCTGCAGAAGAAAAGCCTGAGCTAGAAGAAAAGAAAAATAAACTGATTATAGAAAGCGCAGCCAATAAGAAACAACTAAAGGAAATAGAAGATAAAATCCTGGAGATCCTTTCCCATTCGGAAGGAAACATCTTAGAAGATGAAACAGCCATTAATATTTTGTCTTCATCCAAAGAGTTATCTGAAGAAATCTCTGAAAAGCAAAAAATTGCCTCTGTAACTGAGATGCAAATAGATTCTACTCGAATGGGATATAAGCCAGTTGCTGTTCATTCAGCTGTTGTCTTCTTCTGCATCTCTGATCTGGAAAACATTGAGCCTATGTACCAGTATTCATTGATTTGGTTCATTAACTTGTATGTTCAATCTATTGCTAAAAGCAAAAAAAGTGAAGATTTAGAAGAGAGAATTAAAAACATAACCGAGCATTTTACAATAAGCATCTATAATAATGTCTGTCGTTCACTGTTTGAAAAGGATAAGCTGCTCTTCTCCTTCCTTCTGACGGTAGGCATTATGAAGGGAAAAGACCAAATAGATGATGATGTTTGGCGTTTCCTACTGACAGGAGGTGTTGCTCTTGATAATCCTCACCCCAATCCAGCTCCAGATTGGCTATCTGACAAATCCTGGGCTGAGCTCGTACGTGCATCTAGTCTGACAAACCTCCACGGACTAATGGAACACGTAAAAGAGAATTTATCAAAGTGGAAGGTAATATATGACTCTGTAAGACCCCATGAAGAAGCTTTCCCAGATGCGTGGAACACACTGATGGGGTTAGATCGCATGGTTATTCTCAGATGTTTGAGACCTGACAAAATTATTCCGGCAGTGCAGGAGTTCATTGCAGAAAATATGGGAAGAACATTTATTGAACCACCTACTTTTGATCTTGGAAGAAGTTACAATGATTCAAATTGCTGTGCCCCTTTGATTTTTGTATTATCACCAGGTGCTGATCCTATGGCAGGTGAGATTGGTATTAAAAATGTTTTTTTAAATCTGGTTAAATGTCACTGAGTGTGACTAAACTGATAATAGCGTAGACCCCTTCATTTGATCTTTAGAGTGTCTTTAAAATACAATACAGCAATGATAGAATATGAAACATTTGCACCTGCCCATATGTATACAATAGCAGTGAAATCGCTAGAGGGTGGAATGAATGCAGCGATGATGAAATGTCTAAGTCTCTGAGCAGCAATTTAGGGATCTAACAGCTTTTAACATCCAGACCAGTTTATCATCTGTGCTTGCGTTACAATTCTTTCAGTGGGCGTTTGGGACTTGCCCCAGTCTTTGTTGCAACCCCTCCTCCAGAAAGTTTCCTCCCTCTCAGTTACTAATTAAATGGTGTATATGACCACACTTAAAAACACATCCGTTAAATATCCTTTAAAAAAATACCCGCAGGGTTATTTTTAAACCTGTTTTTCTGCCAAAAGAATTGCAATATGGAGCCATACAGTAAGGATGTATTTCTAGGAGGTACTGGTTTTGATAGCAAAGAGGGAGAGTTATTTTTAACCAGATCTAAAGATCCAATTTACAGCTCAACCCCCAGAAAGAATTGTACCCATGCAGAGAGAGGAGAGAGCTGTAGTGCAGGCTGGAACCGAGCACTTCAGGTTAAAGGAGAGGACAGGCATTGTCCTGGCTTGTATTGTTTTGTTTGCGGTTTTTTTGGTTTTGTTTCAGTATTACTTTATGCAGCTAAATTTTAGTATATGCCTCAGAAACACAGTGACTGATACAGCATTTGATCCTACTTCTGGGTTGTTGAAGTGAGATTTTTTTTTCAATTGAGTAAAATATTTGACTTCTGCCCCTTTAATTAGTTTTTACATTATAAAAATGATGAATATAACATAGACTTTTTGTTTGCACATGTGAAACTTGTCGTCATAGGTTTGCTAAAATTTGCTGATGATGTTGGCATGGGAGGCACAAGCGTTCAAACTATTTCCCTTGGACAAGGCCAGGGCCCAATAGCAGCAAAAATGATTTATCAGGCTATTACTGATGGAACCTGGGTAGTGTTACAGAACTGCCATCTTGCAACTAGCTGGATGCCTGCTTTGGAAAAAATCTGCGAGGAAGTTATAGTGCCTGAGAATACCAATGATAAATTCAGGTAGGATTTTTAATATTTTGCTCCTTTTAATGGCAGTATTTCTTGTTTGCTGAAGACACTAGTAAAAAGAAATGAAACTTCTTTTGTGTGAACAACGAAGTATAACATTCATATCATTCGTGTGCAGTGATAAAATAGATATCTAATTAGGATGTCATCTTTTCTACTTGCCCAATATAATCTACTTTATGCCTGTGTTTTAGAACAAATTCAGAAGTTACCATTACAGTTAAGCAAGTAATAAAACTTAGTCTTCTGCAGATCAATACTGAGCATTTATCAATGTTGATGATTTTTTGATAATGTGCTTTTTAAAATTCTTTTCAGGTTGTGGTTAACTAGTTATCCATCAGAAAAGTTTCCTGTTAGTATCCTCCAGAATGGCATCAAAATGACGAATGAACCTCCAAAAGGAGTCAGAGCGAACCTTCTTCGATCATACCTTAATGACCCCATCTCCGACCCTGTGTTCTTTAGCAGTTGCCAAAAGCCAGAAATATGGCAAAAACTGCTGTTTGGCCTTTGCTTTTTCCATGCTATTGTGCAGGAAAGGAGAAACTTTGGCCCACTGGGTAAGGTTTAGATTCTTTTGCAGGTTGTTTAAAAAAGAGTAGTAGTTTTGAAATGCATTATTGAAGCCTGTCTTTAAAAAGGTGGTATTGTTGTTAGCAATAGTACAGGAGTGCAGTCTGTATTTCACAGAATATAATAAAGTTTAAAAGCTGTTATTTGCAGGGATTCTTATTCAGGCAAAGCTACTCTTGAAGTTACTAAAAGTATCACCCTGCGGGAGGACTAGAAAGTACCAGTTTTCTAAGTAAATATATTATACAGTAGTTAAATTATAAATATTATAAATATATATATTAAATTATAGCCTACTAAATTCTTAAATTTTTACTGTCATTCTTACTAACCATCAAATCCGGTTCCATTTTAAATTTTCATAATTAGACATGTGTCCTTTTCAATTCTGCTTTTGTTATTTATGTGTATACTTCATTTTATCAAAGCTAGTGCATGTGTTTACTTGGTGTGAAACAAATTTATGTAGCTGTAGTATGTTGTTCATAACACAGCAATGAAAAGATATGAATTAGTGAGATTTGTGCTTCAGCTTTTTCTATACACTTGAATTACTTAGAAAAATAGATAGAATTTATACATAAAATGTAGAAATGTATGGAATCATAGATTCCATTTTTATAACTAGATAAAGCTTATACTCACCACTGGTGTCCATTAAATTCTCAGCCTTCCATTCTGACTGAGTCTGCCATAACAGGTTACTGTTATGAAATGGTATATTTTGACTGAAAGCCACTGTCCTTATTTTAATAGGTAGCTAGAAATAAACACTAGATTGCCAGGATGAAGATACTAATTTTTTGTTTTAAAATAAAAATGTAATTTTTGTAAGTCACAAAGAGATCTCATCAAAGAGATTTTGAAAATTAACATCTACTGCTTATTGTGACCAGCTGCCTGGGGGAAGAAGAGTAGTTGCAGCAATAGTCCTATTTTGCTCTAGAGGTATAGGTTTTCTGAAGGATTCTCTTATCTGGAGTATGCTCCTGGGCAGGTTTTTTGGGGGGTTTTTTTGGTTTTTTTTGTACTCTGAATGTCATATACAAACAGCATTAATAGATGGGCAGATTGATTAAAAATTAAAATTAATCAATGAATTAAAACTCCTGTTCTTGTTGTCTCCAGATAGTAACAGATTAGCTGAAAGTACTGAGCAGGTCTGTGTTCTATTTCAGGTAAAATATAATTTTTCAGGAGTGTGTGATACCGAAATACCTGTGCTTATGTTTTAATTATGAAGAATGATGATAATAATGCCTTAGGATATGATATTGTTATGGAGCCATATTCTCCCTTGTGCAATAAACAGACTGGTAAATTCTAGAGCTGCTTCTAGATACTGTCTGGCAGCTGTTTTATTCAGCTCTGTAGTAGGGGTATAGTACCAATACCACCATTTCCTCAGCGTGGATATCGGTACAGTGCACCATTCCCCATTGTATCTTTTCTGAACCAAACAGGTTGGAATATTCCATACGAGTTCAACGAATCTGACCTCCGAATCAGTATGCAACAGATCCAGATGTTTCTGAATGACTATGAAGAAATCCCATTTGAGGCTCTGACGTACCTAACAGGTACAGGCATTGCACCCTCTACCATGTTGACTTTGCTGGGCACTTTCAGCTGGTACAGTGATAAATTGATGAGTTGTTGACAAATTGGGTGGTTTCCATTCAGGTTCACTTTCTTTGCCTTCCACATACAGACAAGTTGGGTCCCACGCCCTCAGATGTCATTGCTCTCTTGGCTCATATGCAGCTAGAGGAATTACTAATGGTCCAACAAACCTCCTGGTCTTTGTTTCATACATGTCAAATAAAAACGTCAGTGGCCTCTGTTTCATTTTGCTGATCAATATGATCCTGACACAGAAGCATTGGCAGTTTACCAGGGGATGTGATAATACTCATCAGTTTAAAGCAGGAGGTGTTGACCTGTGTAAATAACCTGGTTGCTGTGGCTATTCAGTTTGCTTTATCAGATGGCTGCTTCTTGTCACCTCCTTTGTCAACCTTATAAAGAAAATTCCTGGTTTTTGCTAACATTATGAAATACTTACGAAAAAGAATCTTTGGAGTCAGGATTAAAGTAATGACTGTGAGTTTTTAGCTTGCAGTTTCTGTACTTTATATCAGTGTAAACGTCCCCTGATTTCTTGCCCATTAGTTACATCTCTCCAAACCTTTCTGCACATGGCTTTGGCATATTTGTGGTCCCTTGTTTTCTACTGTATGCATACCTAATCAGATTAAGTTTGCATGAAAGGAACCATAGAAAGATCATCTATATAGCAGTGTTCAGATTTTGACAGTTCTATAAATTCTTACTAATGAGAATTTCAAGCAAAAGGCCTGTCATTTAAAACGTGAGATCATTTACTATGCCATGAGTAGCAGTTTCTCAGACCAACTCATAGTGTTCCTTAAACCTTTCATCACCAAAACACACAAATTTGGCCCATAGTTCCAAAGGTGTTAAAGTTCCTCTTTTCCATTGAATCAACTGAAATATAGGGGCTAAAAGCTTTTGAAGATCTGGAGCTTCAGAACTTCGATTTACTGGAGCTGTACATTATTGCAAAACAATTTTTATTTGTTCATTATCTTTCAGTTTTTCATCCTGGTTTTCTTTGTCCTTTCCCAGGGGAATGTAACTATGGAGGTAGAGTAACAGATGATAAAGACAGGCGTCTTCTCCTGTCCCTTCTTTCCATAATTTATAGCAAGGATATAGAGCAGGACAAATATATGCTTGCACCTGGAGATGACTACTACATACCATCACATGGACCATATGAGGTGAGAAGATAACAGATGTAAATTCTAAGTTATTGGAAAAACTTTCTCTACACTGTACTTTGATATGGTGAATACAACAAATAGAAAATAGAAAACAGAAGATCACAAAGCCGTGCCAGAACAAATCTTATGTATGAAGAATTAATCTGGTACTTAGTATCTGATACACTGTAATGGACATGTAGAGCATCCAATATTCTGATGTTTGTTGATGCAAAGAGCCACCCCTGTGCAGGTTTCTGGTACAGTTCTAGAAAGCCAATAGGAGTCAGGCTTCAGGAATTGAGAGGGGAACTTCTGCATCCTCTTGCACCCACTAATGCCTTGGAAGCAATGATCAGGATGAGGAGGTGGAATGGCAGGTATATACTCAATTTTCATTCCCTTTTTTTCCTTCTAGCAGCTGCATGGACATCACAAATGTGCTCAAATCTCACCTGTTTGTGTGCCTGCAGCACAGCATTGTACCCTCTTCTGTGACTCCTAGCAGCCTTCCTTGGATATTTCCAATGTACATTCCTTTCTTTTACTTTCTCATGCTACTTACATGAGGGTGGTAAGAACAACTCCTCAGTGAGTCTTTGAACCATTCAAAACTTTAATATTTATCTCTGTGGACTTGAGTAAGTCAATTCCTGGATGCATTTAACCAGGAACTTATGTGTTTGATTGTAAATGGGAATGTTCTGTCTCAGATGGGTTTACTGATCATTTAAGAACTGGTACCTAAATGTTTCTTTTACAGTCTTATATCGAATACCTACGAAGTTTACCAATTATAACACACCCTGAAGTGTTTGGACTTCATGAAAATGCAGACATCACCAAGGATAACCAGGAGACTAACCAGCTTTTCAGTGGAGTGCTTCTGACTTTGCCTAGAGAAGCAGGGGGAGGTGGGAAGTCCCCTCAGGTAAGTGGGGAAGAAAGATCAACTTGCACTCTGGAAAGGTGCCCTTTCCTGTCATGCCCTACATCTCAGAGTAGTCCAGCACTTCTCACCATATGACTCTGGCATTGGCAGTAGATCTGAATATCCCCGTAGAGAAGCAGACAGATTTGGCATAGAAGAACCTTTAAAGATGGAAGATAACACTAATGACTTTGAATTCAAATGGGTTAATATCACATAACTCCACCTGGTTGAGTAGAACATGCAGTTTGAGTCGAAATGTTTCTTTTGTATTTCATGTTTTAAAATAATGGTGAAGTGCTTCACTTCAGTCATGAATTCTGCACAGTTAACAATCACAGTTAGTAAAGCACCTCAAATCACATCCATCTCTAGGCAATTTTAAAGTATGACATTTAATTTTGGTCTACAAATTTCAGTGATGGAGGTTCATACACTGGCCTGACTTCAGCCAGCAGTGGTTGTATAACCATCCCTGCCATTCTCACTAGGGGACATTCTCCCATCAGGCAAGCAATATAAGCCCATTAGAAGCAAAAGCTCCTGGTGATGTCTGTGCTATAATGGCACTTCCGGTCTGTTATTACTCATTGAATGCTTGGGTTTTGAGATACATTTTTTGTTTCCCCTTGGCTGCTTCAGTTTCTGCAGTCCCAAAGTGCTCTAAGTAAAGCTTCTCTCTCTAATATGGTCTTCCCCATGCTGCATACTTTATTTTTTCCTTCCTTGTGGCAGTGGTAGGATTATGCTTGTCTGCTCTGCTCCCTGTTTCCTTAGAAGTTGTCTAAAACCTTTTCGGAAATTAAGCCAAAATTACTAACAAATTTAAAATTATTGAGAAGGAAAAAGGAGCAAGCAAGCATACGCAGAGATAGACAGACAGGATGATGCACAAAGAGTAAGAGCATGTAAGCATTATTTCTTTAGGACAATGGACTAAAATACCTGTGTGGTTATACAGAAAAAATATAATGTCTATAGTGTTCTTTGGAATTTATTGCATAAAAATAGGTGAAAAAAAGGGAATTTCCTCATTCACTGCAGACTTGTGATTTCAGGAAACTGTTGAAGATTTGGCGCAGGACATCCTATCCAAATTACCAAGTGCCTTTGATATTGAAGAGGTTATGAAGGTATACCCAGTACTTTATGAAGAGTCCATGAATACAGTTCTTAGGCAAGAACTAATTCGATTTAACAGGTATGGCTCAGTGTTTTGTGTTCATCAGTGCCAGTGCAAGCCACTCACAAGCCGTAAACAGTTATAAGCCTTTTACAATACATTGTTTTTAATGTGATAGATTCTGCTTTAGGTGAAACTTTTAAAAAGACTTAAAAGCTGCAACTGGCTACCTGAATATGGAAATAATATGTATGTTCTTGGACTGTGAACTTAAATTAGATTTGAGTTTGTTGTGCTGAGATAGGGCAGGCTACTTTATTCTTTTTAAGTCATATCCAGGCCCAATATTCACAGCACACTATGTTAATTAGTGTTACAATTTTTAAAGCTCTTGTCACTTGATTTCCCTTGTCTAGAATGGGAATTTTCACTATCTTTCATTTCTGTGTGTGTGTTTTTTTCTTTGTTTGCTTTTCCAAAGTTAAGTAAGAGTTTTGATAACTACAGGGGAGATAAGAAACTTCTGACAGGACATTTACCAGCATTGATCGGCACTTTGTTCAATTTGAACTCAGAGGTCTTTAGCCCAGATAGCAAGAAGTAAATAATGAGTAAACAATTTCTTTGTTTTACCTGAAGGCTTACTGAAGTTGTTCGGAGCAGCCTCATTAATTTACGCAAAGCCATTAAAGGCCAAGTGTTGATGTCATCTGAACTTGAAGATGTTTTCAACAGCATGCTAGTGGGAAAAGTACCATCAATGTGGGCTGCCAAATCCTATCCATCACTGAAGCCACTGGGAAGTTATGTGTCCGATCTCCTCTGTCGTTTGGTCTTCTTCCAGGTATGCTAAACTGAGACTGACAGGTCTAAGGACTGATAGCTGGAAGCTGAATGATCTGTACTGTCTTCACTCAGCAGTACCCTTATAGCTCCGGACTGTGAACTACTTGCACATACTCATGACAAAATATATACTGCATTAGTAGCATTGGAATCAGCTGGAAAATTGCTTAGCAGGGTGAGGTGGGAGTATAATCCTTTGGTGCTAATCTCCTGCTGCATTTGGTAGTTTCCATTTTTCTGTTTCTGGAAGATGCATTTTACTTTGCGTTGATGCCTTAACGACTTCCCTGCTCAAAGGACACTGAACCAGTCATCGGTGAAGATTCTATGTAAGAAAATTTGGCGTTTTTTCATGTTAGGAGGTTGATGTTTACAAGACTTTAAAAGAGGGCATATTGATAAAAGTGTCCAAATTCAGTCATTTTTCTTCTTTTTGCTGGCTAATACCTAGAATTATCAAAATACGCTTGTGCTACTGTCTGAAATTTCTTTCTCAGTAGCACTGAGTTCTGGTTGTATCAGAATGAGTGATTGTTGTTGTCGTCATCATAAATAACTGCCCTCTGTGATTTATTGTCTCTGAAAAATGTAGAACTAATGGTAGTATTCACAGGGTCCCATCAAGGATGAGATCTCATTGTGCTGTTTGAATGTATCTGAAAAGATCCCATTTCTGGTGAATTGGCACAGTGAAGCCACAGAATGTATTTTTTCTTACATTTGTTTTTTCTCTCCATATTCAGGATTGGGTTATCAATGGGGTGCCAACAGTTTTCTGGCTCTCGGGATTCTTCTTCACTCAGTCTTTTTTGACCGGTGTTCTACAAAACTACGCCAGAAAATACACCATCCCAATTGACCATATTGGATTTGAATTTGAGGTAAGAAAATGCAGAAGAATCTTGTATTTCTTTAACAGCTTGAAACATGTTAAGGGGCAGCAATGAATAGAGTTTTCAAATGAAAAGACATTTTATTTAAAGGAATAGTTTGAGACTATCACATGGAGGATTTAATATACTCCAGATAAAAATGAAATCAAGCAATGGTTTAATCATTCTAGGTAATGAAACAGGAGCACACGATGGACAAAATGCCAGAAGATGGGGCTTATGTGAGAGGCCTTTTTTTGGAAGGTGCACGATGGGATAGAGAATCCTTGGTAATTGGAGAATCACTTCCAAAAATCCTTTATGATTCTTTGCCCATAATTTGGCTGAAACCTGGAGAAAGTTCCAGGTTTCTTCATATGAACATCTACTCATGCCCTGTATACAAGACAAGTGCAAGAAGAGGTGTCTTATCCACTACTGGCCACTCAACCAACTACGTTCTCTCGATTGAACTCCCTTCAGACAAGCCCCAGAAACACTGGATAAATCGAGGTGTGGCAGCACTATGCCAGTTAGATGACTGAGAGTATGTAAGTCAAAACACTCACATATTGTTATTAAAAGATATACTTTACTCCCCAATGGCTGCAATTTTTTTTTTATGTCGGGATTTCCTGCTGACTTCAAAGCAGCTCTCAATTTCCTTTGTTTTTTAGCCATTATCAGCCACTGAGCAAGAGTGAGTGAAAATAGAACACTACAAACAGAAGCTTATTTTAAGGCCTGGGCTTTATCTTGCAGTAGATCAGAATGAACAGAATTCTCATCAAACTGTGTGCCACCCACATCATTACAATTCATGTGAAATCCTTATATAACCACTTAGCTGCTATCATAGGGCTTTTTTTTTTTTTAAATGAAATTGGGCCCAAAGTGTTTTGCTGCTGATTTTAATGGGAATCGAATCTACAACTCCTGCAAATAAGACTCTGTGGATTTGCCTACCACTTCTGTGTCCCAGGAGTATATAGAGCAGGGAGGAAGGAGATAAGAATAGTCTGTTGTCAACATGTGAAACCAGTCCTTAACTGGACTGAACTGCCAGAGCTGTATTATAAAAGTACAGTAACTGACACTACTTGAGGATGTGCCTCAGAATTTCCGTGGAAAACTGCTAGACAGCACATGCATTGGGAGCCTGCCGTTTCTCAGAGCAGTATGCTTGTCTCATCATTTTTAAACTTTTTTTAAATTTCAGTATTATTTACCCACATATCCCAGGTACCTGAAAAATGGAGCTGTTTCCTCTCTCCCATAGTCTCATTTTACTTCCACATCTTGCCCTCTTGCGTGTTGGACTAATAACCACCTGAAATTTTGTACTTGTTTAAGCCCTTTCATCAGAAAAGCTCAAAGTAGCTTGCAAGCATTAATTAAAAATAAAATAGCGTGCACATCTTCAAAGAGCTGTGCAGTCATTAGCTAATCCCCACAGCATGCCAAGAAGGTACTAAAGATGGATCATTAGACTTGTGTACATGGTACAAGAGAAGCACAGAGATCAAGGCAAACATTTAAAAAAAAAGCCCTCTGCATAAACATCTGCTAATTTGGGGTCTTGTATTTTTTTTCATTGCCCAAATTGCAGCATTTTAATGATTTGCTTGAGGCCTCACAAAGTTAGAGATGCAGCTATAATCCAGCAATTCCCAGTATTCTGCCACAATCATTAAGTGATGCTGCTACAACTCATTAAAACATATAGATCTTGTCATAGGATTTATCTGCCGCGTTGTGCTTAGGTGTTATAGGTGAAAACAGTGTTCATTATTGTTTTATTAAGCTCTGGTTTGGTTTAGGTAGATATTTATAAAATAGTAACTTTTAAGAATGGTGACATACAGGTAAGCGAGAAGTGTTACAGGTGTGTACAGTGCTGCTCTGCACAAAGGTATACATAGGTAATTAGTACAGTATCTTCATATCCCATATTCAATGCCTCATAACCAGCAGAGTGTGCAGACATTTGGTGTGTCATTATTGTTACCTGGTGACTGGGGCAAAGATGTCAGGCCAGGACACTTAACAGATACTTGTTTTAATGAAGGGGACAGAGGTGTGCAGGTGTTTCAATTTACTGCTAGGAAGAAACTACTCTTAACAAATTAGACTAAATAATATTTGTCATCTCTAGCAAAAATAAAATTTATGAATGTTACAACAGTCACCCACACTGACAGCAATTTTTGTTTCAGAAGTTCTGTAAATAAATAAATATTAAATAAAATAGGTCCTTTAAAAACATAGTTGTTTCTTAGGCTTCATAAGAGTAACACAGATACTTTCTACTTTTCATATCATTAAAATTAACTGAAATTTAGTACATATTTAAATGCTGCATCTAATTGTTGTGGTTATCCCATCAACAATTCAGATCACTAATTAGGTCACTGTGGCATCAGAGATAACAAGCCAGTCAGGAGCCTCCTCTCACAGGCGCTTTGCTGGACCAGGGAAGTGGCAGGTGACATCTTACCTGGCACTGCTGAGGCTCTGCTGAAAGAGAAGCTGGGGCAAAAATAGAGTAATCATTCTTAAAGCACTAAAATAAGGAAAAGTTGAAATTTGAGGACTGAGTTTTTCTTCAGATAATGCCAGTCTTGCAAACACAGTCCTCTAAATTAAGCCATTTTAAATCAAAAGCCAGACTCAGTAATATATGCTAGCTAAATTATGTTTTATGGAGATAAATTACTTTTAAATTGTTGGAAAATACTGTGGGATAGCTTGCCACATGGGTTTCTTGTTAACGCCTTTTTGTGAGCAAACACTAATGGACAGTTTATGAAATGACACAGTTGTGGTTCTCATGAGTATATAGTGGCTTTGCCACTGCATTGCGTGCGATGTCCTTGTTACTGTGCTAATTTTCTAAATGCTTCTTCTGTATTAATGTTTAGATTTGAGATTAAGGCATCTCTTAGAATGTAATTAAAGACGTGTTTCAAGCTTTTGTAGATGTGACCAAAATACATAGTTAAGAGAGAAGTCTATAAAAGAGAGGTTGTGCATCTGGTGGTTGCTAAGTCCCCCTTGGCCAGGGAACAGGCATGGCTGAGTTGCTGTAGCTGATGATTACTGAAATCCATGATTTCCTGGGCTGTCCTTACTATTAGAGAAAAAGTAATGGAATTTACTGTTGAGGGGTATCTCTCTTAGAGATATTTTTCTGTGGTTCTTTGAAATGACCTTCCCAACCTTATTTCCTGAGCATTGTCTAGACCTTCCTGAAAAATGACAAGCTGGTGAAACATGAGAATTCACAGCCTTTCTTGGCTGAGACACATTAAAAAAAAAAAAAAGCAAAAGACGACTCAGCTGTTAGTTGGACATGATAAAAATTTGAAGAATTTTTGGAAAATTAACTACTTTGTAACAGTAATATTAGAATTCTTGGCTTTACAGGTTTAGTATTTCCATTTCTTAATTAGAAGCTCTCATTAACAAACCACAAAACCACCTGTAATTACTGTGAATCATAGATTCAACCTTGCTAATAACTGAAAGCAGATGGGAAAAAGTGCAGTATATAGGCATCATGGAGCAAGAGATATTTTTTCCTTAGAAATAGCAGAGACACATTTTCACCTAGGGATGCTGTACGACAGATACGGTTTGTATGTTTTCTTAGGAGATGGAAACCTTTCTCTTATCTCATCTGTACAAAAATCCATTTCAGAAACAGAAAGTACTATCTCTGTTGATTTTAGCACTGCTGGGCTGTTAAAGGAAAATTACACAATGAAAAAGCAAAAGACAATATAAAAGCCCAAACTCTGAATTCCTATAAGCTAGAATGTTTTGCCTAATAGAATTAGAAAAATTAGTGAAAGGTGCAGGTCTCTCCTGTAATTAGCATTCTTGAAAATGAATTTATAGTATGATGAAATAAGTGACCATTCTGTCTGTGGGTAAAAGATGGATGTAACTGATGTAATTTCTGATGGATACATAGTAGAGCCCCAAGAGAGTGCCTTATTTTCTCCAGATCTAGAAGTTATTGCAAGAACAAACTCATAGGTATTAGTAGGAAGATAGATCAGATAAACTAATCCATCTTAACCTGTTTCAGTTCCGTGACACTTCCCTTGGCACAGACTGGGTCACTGCTGCCACTTTATGAGTGTTTCCTCATTCCTGGACAACACTGAGGGGGTACCTTCAGGAAGCAGGTGCTGAGTTCGTCTTTTTAAATGATTGTGTGCTTCCTAACGCGAGTGTTAAATTTGGTTTCGTAAGTGCACGGCTTCATAAATTACAACTTTACTAATGATGGAGTTAGGGATAGAATTTCCAGAGAGGTGTTATTTAGATATTCAAGGCCAAATACCATGTCAGCAAATTACTACTGCATTGCCTAGCGGTTAGTTTGCAAGAGAGTTCATGCAACTGACTCAGGATTTTTATTTCTAAAGAATATAAAATTAATGTAATCTTTTTATTCTAAAGCATCTCCTGACTACAGTGATAAATTGGAAAAGAGACAGTGTTTACTGGAAGGGGAGTAAGAGAAAGTTAGGGAAGTACAGGACAGAGTGGACGCTGACTGATTGAATCCAGTGCATTACAAACTCTCGAGAACTCAAAGGCATTTTAGGATAATATCTTTTTGCAAGTAAAATTAACGTGTAGGAATGACACATTGCATCATCATTGGGATATTTCTTGACAGAAGTTATACGGTCCTTGGAATTTAATACAATGAGTAGCAGTTGAGATGTCTGCCTACCCGTTACACTGAGTTGCAAATGAATTTTTATGAAACTCTCTCAAAATGGTAGTTTGACTGTTTGACCTCCAAAAACAAAGGACTCAATCTTTAAGGCAGATTCTCTTCCATACAGAGTTTAACTTAAACTGTGAAAGAAGGATTTTGCTCTCTAGACTTGACAAAAGAGCTGATCTAATCCTTCCTTTAGCTGAACAGCCTCAAGTTTTAACAAAATTCAGTCTTTGCCTTTTGGTGCTGGAAAGTAATGAAGGTCAGGCAGGAGTTAATAATTTCTCAAACACTTACTTTGAAAAATTAATGGATATTTAAAGCATCACAAACAATGTGATGCTGTTACTGCAGTTCTTGCTTGCATGCTTTTCAGTTAAGCAAGTGGATACTCATTTAAGTTACTTAGGGCTACTTGAGTCTTTTTAGAATTGCATATTTATATTTCCCTTCAGAAAGAAACTCGTTATTTCAATTTGATATAAATCCTCTGTGATTTTAGAGATGTTATTTTGAAATAATTTACATCCTACAGTGTGTGCTCAGGAAAGAGTTGTGACTATAACACAGACAGTAAATTTAGACTGCTCATTTACATAGCTGTTTATTCACCAGATGAGTCACAGCATCAGAACCTTCATTACCCACATGAATTTTAACAATTAAAAAGATTCAAATGACAGTTAAATGATGAAGAATGAGCCTAAGCTTCCATTCAAAATCCTTGTCTCTACACATTTTGGTTTGGGTCAGTTGAGACATCTCTATGCTGGTGTATCAGAATGAGGACAGGAAAAGACTGTATTTGGACTTCTTTCAATAGAGGATTAAGCAGTATCTATAATCATGTTATTTTTACTGTCTTTATTCCATCTCCCTTTTCCTAGGCTACGGTAGTTTTGATTTGTGTCTTTTTGGCAGCAGTAAATTTGCAAAGCTCCCACTGACAGGCAGAACAATGGCATTTTACATGTTACTTC